ATTGAATAGAAATTAGAACCAATTTCTTTCTTTTTCTATTTCTCTTGTTGGTCTTGTATTTTCTTTTAGAAGGAAATATAAAATCAAGAGCAAAAACTTGGAGTAGATAAAAATTTAGAACAGAATTCTCTTTTTTTCCATTTCAAAATTTTGAATTTTCCTTTTTTTGGAAGAAAACATGGAACCAAGAATCTGGAATAGACAGAAATTGATTCGAGAAATTTAAAATTTAATCCCAGAGCTTTGGGTCTTGAATTTTTCCTTCTTTGTACTTTTCACTCACTAATTTAAAACTTATTCCATTTTTAGGTCAATACTTTTCTTTGAATAATTTATCAATGAGAACAAAGTTTCCATTTTAGGTGTTTGAATTTTCTTTTTACGGAGAAATTTAGAGAAAAACATAAAATCAAAGGAACTGAAAATACTGAAGCAAAAATAGAGACAAGAAATGATGAAAACAAAATTCTCTCTTTTTTTCCAACCCAAGTTTTTGATTTTTCCTTCTTCAAAAAAACATAATGTTAAACCAGTAAAACCAAGACAAAAATTCAAACATAATACAATAACAAAACGATTTTCTACAGGATTTATTCCTCACTGGATGCCATTAAAATTTACCAACAACCCATTGCAAACTTTTAGTACCATTTTATAAGTCAAAACAAACTGTTGGCGGTACCGAAAGCGGTAAAATAATCGTCGCGGTGCGATTTTGAAAAGCCCAACCGAGCCAATGGTACTAAAATTATGGTGTCATGACCCTTCAAAGTACATAAGTACTCCACCCAGATCTCAGGCAGAGCTGCATTCCAAGCCACCTAGATAGAAAATGCAGGCCTACCTTGAAATTATACAGTGGCGTGCAAAGATTATAAAAATCGAAAAATTTACTATTATTTCATTCACAATTTTTAATTTCTTCAAGACAAAAGTTCGAATTACATATTATTTTGAGTTGTGGACCTTATAAAAAGCAACCAAAACGAAGACGACCTTAAGGTGAATCGGAACGAGCAAGAGTACAACGTCCCGTTACGTTATTTCGCGTGCAGGGACGGGCTCGAAATTGATCCGTTAAACGACCACCACGACTTGCGATTGAGATGATTCAACAACCGTATCGGGATTGTATTACGGTTGTTATACTATAATAATCATACACCTCAATCAATCAATCAAAGTTTATAGATTTTCAGGTATTTGATCTTTTATGAGAGGGATTTGTTTGTACAGTTTTGGCAAACCTGTAAGGGTTTATGAAAGTTAGGATCATTTCCCACAAGATGTAGATACTCAGTTTTCCAAATTCTGATCCGAATTAATTGAATTTAGGATCCAGTTTTTGTCATCAAAAAACGTTTTGTAATTGGATGAAATTGTTCCCACAAAGATACTAATCGACGTTTCGGAGAATCGCCCAGCCAACTGTAAAATGAAGCGGTCGTCCTTGCCTTCAACATATCTCTGCTGTGTGATTTTTTTTTCTCAAATGTATTTCTCTCTCGGTTTTGTTTCGCTTCTAATTTAAAGCAAATTGTCCAGTTCAATCAATGTGTTAGTTAATTTGACTAATTTTTGTTAATTTTGTACAAATTCAAAAGTTTTTAGAAAGCTGCATTGCTTATACATTAGGCCTATGAGTGCCTTTTTTCATAGATTTTGGCTCCAAAAAATTGAAATTTCATCGTTTTAGTAAGAAGGTAGCTACCTTATGATTTAAATTTTGGAAAACTTTGAAAGGTCATAACTTTTTTTCTATTATAGATAGAAAGCTGAATCTTTCACTGAAATTCATCTTTTTCAAAGGACTAAAATCCCTGAAATTTTCAACTGATTTGCACTTATAGTTCCTGAGATAAAATCGTGTTAAGCAATTTGGGGTGATTTATCAATTTTTCAATTTTTCTGAGTGCCTTTTTTCATAGATTTCGGCTTCAAATCTGAGAATAAATTATTGTATGGAGTTTGGGGTATGTTGATTGACCATTAGGATACAAAATCTCAACAAAAAAAAAAATTGAAATTTAATCGTTTTAGTAGGAAGGTACCCCCCTTATGATTTTCTTGGAAAACTTTGAAAAGTCATAACTTTTTTTCTATTATAGATAGAAAGCTGAATCTTTCACTGAAATTCATCTTTTTCAAAGGACTAAAATCCCTGAAATTTTCAACTGATTTGCACTTATAGTTCCTGAGATAAAATCGTGTTAAGCAATTTGGGGTGATTTATCAATTTTTCAATTTTTCTGAGTGCCTTTTTTCATAGATTTCGGCTTCAAATCTGAGAATAAATTATTGTATGGAGTTTGGGGTATGTTGATTGACCATTAGGATACAAAATCTCAACAAAAAAAAAAATTGAAATTTAATCGTTTTAGTAGGAAGGTACCCCCCTTATGATTTTCTTGGAAAACTTTGAAAAGTCATAACTTTTTTTCTATTATAGATAGAAAGCTGAATCTTTCACTGAAATTCATCTTTTTCAAAGGACTAAAATCCCTGAAATTTTCAACTGATTTGCACTTATAGTTCCTGAGATAAAATCGTGTTAAGCAATTTGGGGTGATTTATCAATTTTTCAATTTTTCTGAGTGCCTTTTTTCATAGATTTCGGCTTCAAATCTGAGAATAAATTATTGTATGGAGTTTGGGGTATGTTGATTGACCATTAGGATACAAAATCTCAACAAAAAAAAAAATTGAAATTTAATCGTTTTAGTAGGAAGGTACCCCCCTTATGATTTTCTTGGAAAACTTTGAAAAGTCATAACTTTTTTTCTATTATAGATAGAAAGCTGAATCTTTCACTGAATTTCATCTTTTTCAAAGGACTGAAATCCCTGAAAATTTCAACTCATTTGCACTTATAGTTCCTGAGATAAAATCGTGTTAAGCAATTTGGGGTGATTTATCAATTTTTCAATTTTTCTGAGTGCCTTTTTTCATAGATTTCGGCTTCAAATCTGAGAATAAATTATTGTATGGAGTTTGGGGTATGTTGATTGACCATTAGGATACAAAATCTCAACAAAAAAAAAAATTGAAATTTAATCGTTTTAGTAGGAAGGTACCCCCCTTATGATTTTCTTGGAAAACTTTGAAAAGTCATAACTTTTTTTCTATTATAGATAGAAAGCTGAATCTTTCACTGAATTTCATCTTTTTCAAAGGACTGAAATCCCTGAAATTTTCAACTGATTTGCACTTATAGTTCCTGAGATAAAATCGTGTTAAGCAATTTTGGGTGATTTATCAATTTTTCAATTTTTCTGAGTGCCTTTTTTCATGGATTTCGGCTTCAAATCTGAAAATAATTTTGTGTATGGAGTTTGGGGTATGTTGATTGACCATTAAGACACAAAATCTCAACAAAAAAAAAATTGAAATTTCATCGTTTTAGTAGGAAGGTACCCCCCTTATGATTTTCTTGGAAAACTTTGAAAAGTCATAACTTTTTTTCTATTATAGATAGAAAGCTGAATCTTTCACTGAATTTCATCTTTTTCAAAGGACTGAAATCCCTGAAAATTTCAACTCATTTGCACTTATAGTTCCTGAGATAAAATCGTGTTAAGCAATTTGGGGTGATTTATCAATTTTTCAATTTTTCTGAGTGCCTTTTTTCATAGATTTCGGCTTCAAATCTGAGAATAAATTATTGTATGGAGTTTGGGGTATGTTGATTGACCATTAGGATACAAAATCTCAACAAAAAAAAAATTGAAATTTAATCGTTTTAGTAGGAAGGTACCCCCCTTATGATTTTCTTGGAAAACTTTGAAAAGTCATAACTTTTTTTCTATTATAGATAGAAAGCTGAATCTTTCACTGAAATTCATCTTTTTCAAAGGACTAAAATCCCTGAAATTTTCAACTGATTTGCACTTATAGTTCCTGAGATAAAATCGTGTTAAGCAATTTGGGGTGATTTATCAATTTTTCAATTTTTCTGAGTGCCTTTTTTCATAGATTTCGGCTTCAAATCTGAGAATAAATTATTGTATGGAGTTTGGGGTATGTTGATTGACCATTAGGATACAAAATCTCAACAAAAAAAAAAATTGAAATTTAATCGTTTTAGTAGGAAGGTACCCCCCTTATGATTTTCTTGGAAAACTTTGAAAAGTCATAACTTTTTTTCTATTATAGATAGAAAGCTGAATCTTTCACTGAATTTTATCTTTTTCAAAGGACTACAATCCTTGAAAATTTCAACTCATTTGCACTTATAGTTCCTGAGATAAAATCGTGTTAAATAATTTAGGGTGATTTATCAATTTTTGTGAGTGCCTTTTTTCATAGATTTTGAATAATTTAGTGTATGGAGTTTGCATTCTTTGCTTCTTAAATGCTCCAGAACTCTTCAAGCTAAGTTAGAACCCTTTAGAACTTCAATAAGTCATTTAGAACGTTCCAAAACACTTTCCAGCAGCATTTTGAAAGGCTTCAGAACAATTTAAAAACCTCAGATCCGAATTATTTCAGACAGTCTAGCGCCTGGAATAGACAAAAATTGAAAGTTATAAAATGAGTAATAATAATGAAATATTACTCCCTCAGTCTCACTTGCATGCCAATTCTTGACACTCTCTATTTGCTCTATAGCTGGCATAAGCCAGTGTTCACACTATACCAGAACTAAAACGCCCAGTGACTGGATACAGATAGATCTGCCTTTATTCTCTTATAGAAAAATTCACAATTTTATATCCGAAGTTTATTCAACTTGATATTTTATCAGCATTTCAAATTGGGTTTATGTTCCCTTTCTCACGACGATGACGAATTGCGACCAGGTAGGTCTCAACATGCTCCTGAGTTATTGCGAAATAATAATTAATGGTAATTAGCGTAACGTATGAAAATGCACGTTCGTTTAAAGAAACCCGATAGCCCAGATTAGTCTTGGAACCTACCTTTTACGTGTGTGTGTAAAACGACCTTTTTTTCAGATTTAATTACCGGCACGAAATAATATTGTTTTCTTATTTTTACAGATCCTGCCTTTTGCCCAATTTGAAGAAGTAATTATTACGGATGAAACCCGAAAGCTTATAGTAAGTATCAAAATATAATCAATATTTCAGATATCTGAATACAAACTGATTGTAATGTAATCACATAAGGTTTGTTTATGAGGCGTCAAAAAAACATGGTTATTCAGGGCCAATGAAATCGTTGTAATACCGGATGACAATTTGTTTGAAACAAACCTGAAATGATTTCGATCAACAAAAAAAAACCTCTATTGGTGTAAACCTAATCATTTCCATTGATGCAATACGATGCGTCATCTGCATTCAATTTCCTCAACTACTAGAATTACATTGTATTTGATTAAATTGGTTTACATCACGAGCAATGATGGAACTCTTACTTAAAGTGACTTACCCAGGCAAGACTTAATTGATTTTTTACTTAATTCCATAGTCAAAATTATTCGAATATGTATAAGGTCTTGCAGTATTTTGGGAAAATAGATTAAATGGCCATTAGTAAGTTTTTGATTTTCTGACATGGTCTTAGAAATGGGGTGCGGGTACACGTAAATTCACCCTAATGACCATGATTTTCAACATGTCCACTTTGGCCGTTCAGGTATAACAGGTAATTTCGCTCTAAAAACCTTCACTTTATGATGGTCACTTAGAGAAAGGATGATTAGGGATAATTAATAAATAAACAATTACATTATGTCTTTTCTTTAATCTGGAGGTGGAATTTCCTAAACTGGTTTATTGAAAATTAATTGTAAAATACACAGCCTATCTTACAGACACCTATATTTTTGAAGATTCCCTGTTTCCGCCACAACTTTGGGCTGGAAATTCTGCAACACTTACAAGAACGACAATGCTTGTGAGTCTTTCCACTGCAATTTTAATAGTTCTATGTATAGTTCACATCCAAATTTATATGTTTTTATGAAAAGTTAAAAGAGTTTCAAATAGAAACACATGTAAAAAAACATACACATCAAACAGTAAAAATTTATGATGTAAAAGTTAAAAGCCGGCAAAAATTAATTGAAGAGACAATTAAACAGTACAGCCTTGGCGAAATCACTAAACTCCATTTAATAAAATGCATTTATTCTCATTGTGCACTTTAAAAGTATGAAAATTAGATCTTTAACTTAATTTTAGAAACTGGTAAACTGTAAATTAACGTATAGATATTCATTAAATTGCATACCTACCTATATATATATGAGAACATTGTGGTTTTATCAATATTATTGCCTTCCCTAATAACACATCAGGTAGCATGGGGCGAAATTACTAGAATTTATTTTGGTTTACTTTTGAACTAGAACTAGGGCGAAAATACCTATCTTTTTCGTCCTTTAATTATCATGGGGCGAAAATACCAACACCCTAAAAATGTTGTCCCATTTGCCGTAATTTTCAACGAATCAAGTTATTCTGAAAGAAAATTGAATTCCCTACAAATCCTGAACAGATTCAGTGTGGTTCCCATGGATTCTCAGAAATTAAGCTTCGAAAATGGAATTTTTCACCTAAAACTTCAAGTTGAAAATGTTCAAAAACTATATTTTTTCAAATAACAAATTAAAGTATTCAATGGAAGCTACAATCTTAGAAAAATTTGGCTCCATACTTCTTATGGTTATTAAGATATTAAACTTTGAAGAAAAAAGTCAAAGGAGTATGAACTGGTAATAGTTCTAATTTTTAGAATTTTCCAGTGAATCGAGTGACGGTAATAGTTCAAATTTTGAATATTTTTGGTTCTGGATTCAGTGGGAAAATGCTACAGTGACAGCCAAGAGCCGATAATAATCAAAATATGGACTGTTATCGGCTCAATTTTCCAACGAATCGGAAATCAGAGCATAGGCGCCGGAATTTCAAAATTACCATGGGGGCTCGGATTCCAAAAATTAACATAAGTAGAACTAATTAAACAGACAGGCTACTAGACTTAAGTAGGACCAGTTGACAGATACCTATTTCACTACAGGATTGCCACGCTGAATCATTGATTCGTCCCTGCAGGTTCCTTCATATTATTGAAATTCGTGCATCTTCGGTAGCTCGGCTATACTCGACTTCCACAGCACCATTGGCGTTAGTCAGGATTTTGCCTTGGGTGGGGGGGAGTAGGGGCAAATTTGCAGGAAGTGATCCTTGCAGCAGTGGCAGCTGCAGGAAGAAAAGCGCCGCAGCCGCGAAATTTTTGGGTCTCTTCACGTTTTTCTGAGATTTCTAATGATGGGGGCAAGCGGAAATGTGGGTATTTTAACAAAATTTTGATGAGAATTTATAGTAGAACATTACTTATATTATAATGTATGTATTTGATTATTTTCCATTTCGAATTATGTATTAATAAAATCTGAAGGCCTTTGCCTTAACTGGCTACAAGCCAAATCGACTTATTACTCCCTAATGTGTCTAGTAGGTTTGTCCGGTCTGTATATACATTTTCCATGATAAACTAGGTAAAAAAGACCAGTGTATTGGTACATCATGCAAACGGCAAGGAAATAAACCAACGACTTATTAAAAAAACGTATATGCCTACAATATCTCTTGGTGTAACACTTTATTACGCTTATTCATCAAAACAACTTATTGATTTTCTGTATGGCTTTGGAATTTGTTGTAGCTATGACGAAGTAATGAGGTACAAGTACAGGCCAATGTTAATGCAATAGAATGAGATGTCAAGAAACACTCTAAGGCTGAATAGAGAACGAAAGATAACGATTTTCCCTGTCCCACCTCCAGGATTCCCAGTGCTCTTTGGCCACCTTATTGTTGTCTCCCTCAGTTTCGGGACGGGGAGCAAACCACATCTTGCTCTAAAATCTAAATCCTTTTTTCCCTTCTATATTGAACAACTATTATTAATGGGATGTTATATCTTTCGGTGTTGAAGTTGCTCAATATATTGGGATATAGAATAACATCCATAGGTCTTTAGAATGTAGCTGGCGCGTTCTTCAAACCAAAGGGCATGCGCAAGAATTCATAATGCCCGTTTTCTGTACTGAATGCGGTTTTTTCGATGTCGCTTTCATGCATCTGGATCTGGTGGAAGCCGCTAGTTGGCAGCGTCCCAGCTTGTTCAAGAGGTCCGTTATGGGTAATGGGTATCTGTCATCTAAGCTTTTTGTATTGAGGCCCCCAAAATTTACTATACTATACTAAACAAAAAAATATTCAAATATGTTTGTCAAAGTGGGTATAGGAAAAACAACAAAAACATAAAACACATAAGTTTAATATAAAAATTGATAATTAGGAATGTTAGGATAAAAAACTCAATATTTTTGTACCTACCCATTGTACCCACTACATACAATGCCAAAATCACTATGGGGGCTTCGCCCCCATAGCAAATTCACTACGGGGGCTCAAGTCCCCATTGCCCCCATGGTTCCGGCGCCTATGAATCAGAGAATAGTCCAAACATTTCCCTAATCAAGATCCAGAGAAAATCATAATTTGCATTGTTACAAACTTTTGATTGCCACTAGAGCAACTTTCCAATGAATCGAGAATAATTTAGTGTATGGAGTTTGGAGTATGTTGATTGACTATTAAGATACAAAATGTCAACAAAAAAAAATTTGAAATTTCATCGTTTTAGTAAGAAGGTACCTTATGATTTAGATTTTGGAAAAGTTTGAAAGGTCATAACTTTTTTTCTATTATAGATAGCTCCTAGAGCAATTTTCCAGTGAATGGAGAACTGAGTAATAATACTAATTTTTGAAATATTCCAGCGAATTGAGTGCCGGTATAGTTTAAATTTTAAATATTTTTGACTCTGGATTCACTGGAAAAATGTTACAGTAACAGCCAAGAGCCAGGGCCTATTTTACCGTAAGGCACATAAGGCCCGGGCTTTGGGGAGAAAAGCTTGAAAAAAAATAATAAACATTTCAATTTGCAAATAAACATACCAAAAAAAAAAAAGAATATTCCGGTATCTGATTCAGAAAATTGAATGAAATCAGACTTGTAGGCTGGCCTCATACAGCCGCAATATCTTTCTGAATTCAAAAATGGAATTCATAGTCTGAATTCATAACGTACGGAATTTATACAAGGGTGTCACCGTTTTTTTTGGGGGGGTTACCACTGATCTCAAATATAAATGGATAAACAAAGAACGCTTCTAATGCTGCTAATTTACGAGGTCAAAATCTAAACGAAAACCACTGACTGGAACAGCTGTGAGCGTGCGCAGTAGATACATGTATTGTGGGTGCACAAAATCTGGCCAATGAAAATGAAGGAATTTCAAAATTTAGAACAGTTGTTCGAAAGATAAGACATTGCGCAGGCGTTAGGCTGTTCCGTTGCACAACTGTTCGTAGAATATTGACCCCAAATTTTCGCACAAATTTTGCCAATCAAGCAGTATGAATTGTTTATCCATTTATTTTTTAGATCAGTGGGGGTTACAGGTAGAGAATGGGGGTGTATTATACGAATTTTTAACTGGCGTGAACTTGACAGCCAAAAGTTAGCAGCCTGACTCCCGAGTCTACCCGAACAGTCAGTGGCGTCGATTATGTCCTATTTTTAGATATTAAACATTCCTTTTTTTATAAACCACCCTTGGACCCATTTGCAAGTCGAGTAAGATGCATTTAAATGTGCCTATGGTGCCTAGACACAGTTTCTAATACATTTGGTTTTGAAGAAAATGTCGCAAGACACGTAATTCTGGGAAAATTTGATATTTCCAGTTCTCCAATTTTCTTGTTTCACTCCCAAAAACCACCCTTGGACCCATTTGCAATTCAAGTGAGATGCCCCATAATGAGTTCATCGTGTGTAAAAAAAAGCACCTGGTTGAGAAAAATATGTGGAAAGTCCCGTCCGTAAGTTGGTCAAAAATTAATATTTCAAATATTTTGATTCTTTGTTTGCCTTCAAAAACATGTATTGGATCCATTTGCAATAATTTCTTGTTTACCTTTAATAACTGGATTAATTTTATTGTATTTATAAAAAAAGGTATGTATAATCTCTAAAAATAAGACATAAACGACGCCACTGACTGTTCGGATAGACTCGGGAGTCTGGCTGCTAACTTTTGGCTGCCAAGTTCACGCCAGTGGAGGCCCAAAATAACGACTTTTATAATATAATGGCGAACATATCAAGCCAAATGCGGTTACAAACCGACTTGAACAGCCCGTGGCTAAGTACCTTCAGTGGGTTAACCCATGAAGACCCAGTGGAATTTGTACAGGACATTTTAGCCTATTGCAAAGAGAATGACTTAGGAAACGAGGACGCAAAGCGCGTATTACTAGGTAGGGTAAAAGGCGACGCCAAAGAGTTTGTTAAAAAACAATGCGAAAAGCGAATCCCTTTCGAAGACATTCTGCACAAGCTAGTCCTCCACTACAACAGCCACGAAAAACTTGCTCACGCGGCAACAATTTTCTATACAGAGAAACAGACAACCCACGAAGACGTGGAGAGTTTCGCGTTACGAAAACAAGCGTTGTATAAACGCATACACCCGAGCGGTTCGCTAAGAGACCTCATGAGTGCCGTCATCGAACGGTTAAGGCCAGAGCTGAGAATTCATCTCAGGTTAGCACATTTCGTAGATCTAGAAGATCTTATTGCCCGTTCATCCAAAATTGAGCTAGATTTAGGCGAGATAAGCCAGAATACTGTCAATTTGCATCTGCCAAGTCCAAACCAACCAACCACAACTTCAAACAAGCCCGTCAGTTCAATAAAGTGTCGAACCTGCGGAGGAGACCATTTCTCATTTAAGTGTCCGAAGAAGGCGCAAGGGAATATGTTGAAACTCACGGCCATTGAAGGGCCCGTTGTTTGTGCAAGCAGCATTGCAGTCTCTGAGCTGCCTAAAGCCAATTTGAACGACAATATCAAAGTCAAAGATATTGCGAAAGAAGCTGCCGGAGATACTCTCCGAAAGGCCCGCAAACGTAAACCGAAGGCCGAAAACAAGCCACTGTCCACGTCAGGACATGTAGGCATTTGCACAATGAGTGATCGTAAGCCAAACCAAAAAAGCTCGACAAACCCTCAACGCTATCTCGCCTACATCAGTAACCAATCCCTGAAAATTTGAACAGCCTAGTATTAAGCCCTTCAGATGATATGAAAGGGCGTTGTTTAAATTTCAACACCCTGTCTTTTGGAAACGACAGACTTCCCACCATCGCTGACCTATCTCAAACTGCTTCTCTATGGTTCCTCTAATGTACCCTAGCATTTTTGACCAGTTGAACGGGGACACCCTGTATATTTTTTTATTATACAGCACACACATTCTGACTTTTTCAGATTATGAATATTTCATATCGATCTGCCAGAGTGACTGACGAGAGTTTTGAATTCCGTATCTGAAAAATTGAGATTATATATCTTCCCTTCCAACAAATACCGTTGAAATGATGCCGCAAACTACTGGAATATTGGTCACGGAATTTTTAAGATATGTGTGCGGCGATGTGCCAGAATTCAGATCCTGAATTCTGTTCCTGAATTCAGAATCTGAATTCATAACGTACGGAATTGTATATTATGTATATTTGTATTATACAGCATACACATTCTGATTTTTTCAGATTATAAATTTTTCATATCGATCTACCAGAGTGACTCTGACAAGCATTTTGAATTCATCTGAATTCTGTTTCTGGATCCAGAAAGACATTCCGGTTGTGTGAGGCCGGCCTTAGATTGTACAATTGATTTTCGATTCAAAAATTTAAATTTTTTTAAAAAGCAGAAGATGACACCCCCCCCCCCCCCCCCCCAACCCATGAAGGGCCGCCGCTGTACCTATTAATTGTCATCATAGGATATTGGGGGCCCGAAGTTTTGCTTGGGCCTTGGGGCCCGACTGAATCAAAAATAGGCCCTGCCAAGAGCCGATAATAATCAAAATATGAACTATTACCAGCTCTTGATTGCTACTCTAGAGCAAACCATACTTACCCACATACATAAAAAGTTGAGTGAGTTTTCCAGTCGAAAAAGGTAATTAAAAATTAAATTCTCTAATTCAGTTGATTTCCCTAGACTTTGAGTAACAGATCTTAAATATTCTACAGTAAAAAACTTATTTTTGAGCCAAAGCTTCAACTATGAAGCTCAAAAACTCTATTCCTGGCTCTATTAGAGTAATAATTCAACCAGAGGAGTATAAAACTCCCATTTCATTCTTAAAATTGATCAAGAATAGCTCAGAATCGTAATTTATAGAGCTGAAAAATCTTAGTCCTGGCTCTATTAAAGCGAAAATTGCTAGAAAACCAAAACGGTGTTTCGGATTACTGCAATGTGAGTCAGCACCGCCTTATTCTTATTATCTAACGTTTCATTTTGCTTTTTTTTTATTCAAAAGACTGGACACGCTTACCTTGGCAGCACATTATGCGGAATTCATGTTTGACTTTGTATTAAGACAAGGAATGTCGTACCTATATGTATGAGACAAAAAAAAATTGTTACCCGTTATAATAATAATTATTATTGATTTAAATTGTGCTAAATTTTAACATTGTAAAGTCTCAACTGCCTACGCATTTCAATCAGTCAGAAGAAGAAGAAGAAAAAAAAAAAAAAGAAAGAAGTAGGTACCAGTGTATAGGTACGACGAGCACTTAAAGGCGAGGTCAAGTCTGGTCTGGGTGGTCCAAAACAATGGACTCGGCGTTAAGGTAATAAGATTGCATACGAGGCCCCAGTTTTCGACAAATAAGCGTTTTGAGGTGTGCGCTTGGCAACAATTCATTTTCACAATTTTGTTCTTGACACTATAAAAATTTTATGTTAATCTAATGGAAATGACTCGGTTTACATTGGCAAAAGAGGCACAATCAATATTAATAATATTTGTTGCAATTTTAGTTCCAATAGTTCCCTGGCTTCACTAGAAGTCCTAGAAGATGTCGCGCCCAAAAGACACTCCGCGGTCAGCTGATCAACGGTAATCATAGCCCGGCATCATTGGACGAGGCCGGGCGAATCAGTCATGGAAATGCGTTCTCCGAACGTATCGGTCACGCCCATCAATATGGAATACGTGCCGCCGTCGGTGGGCGTGGTCAAGTCAGTGGGCGTGGCCGAACCGCCGAGGACTCGGAGCGCGCCACACCCCGTCGTTCTGAGCAACGTAGATGTCGAAGACGCCGAGCTGGCTTCGATTGATTTTCAGAGTGTAAATATGCGAAGTAAAAAGAATAAAAAGGAAGAGGTGCCCAGGCCGATGAGCTGGGAAGGCGAATTGAGTGATGGAGAAAGGGATGATGGTATGTGTATAGACGAGAGCAGCGAGCCAGCTCATTTGCCAGAAAACTTGTCAATCACTGCCTCTAAACAAACTTTTGACTTAAAAGAAAGTCCTATTTTAAGGCTCAAACAACCTCCAGTTAGTAGTTATTCTTTGCACAGCACCCCTTCAAATTCGCCTCTGTTAAATCAGCGACATCCAGGAACTGGAGTACCAATTATTAGTCATAAGGTAATTATTCAGTTTCAGATTTATCAAAATAATGATTGTTTGTTTTATAACTAGGATCTCATGCACAAAGCCTTGAACGTGCCGCCCACTCCGAGTCCAGACTCGGCCGTCCACTCGGCCTACTCGGTGTTCAGCTCGCCCAATCAAAGTCCTCTGACGCAACGCCACATTACGCTGACTCCGAATCTGAGCCGCAACAATTCTGATGCTTCGCATTCGAGTTGCTGCAGCTATTCAAGTGTTTCTGTATCAGTGTCGCCTACACAACAGTTTTCACCTACTCACAGTCCTATTCAGGTGAGAACTACTCAAGAAATGCAATAATTATAGAACATATTACATTATTATAGATCCAAGGTTGTTACACTTGCCACCATTGGTACTTTTTGCTCTCTTCTGGTAGCCTATTTAGCATATAAGTGGTTTTTAGGTGCGCCAAAAGGAATGTCGCGTACAGGTTTTGTACTTTGTATATACACTGTGACCAAATTTCAACTTGAATTGGGAGTTTTAGCATTATTTAAATTTCATCAAAGTTGTGTGAACCAAAATAAAAATGTCCTTTGCTCTAGGGCAAGGATATTACACACTATACAAGATAGCCAATCTTCATAAGGTGTGTGTAGGTCATCTCAAGTCCCCCACTGCGCCAGTGATGACGTAGACCTGATAAGCAATCCTGTAATAGTGTGTAAAATCCTTGGTTCGGATGGTTTCCTATTTTATTGATAAATACTAAAATGGTGTATGAGGTAGACTTCTTTATCGAACAATAAGAATTGTTCATAATGGCTCTATATCTGATGCTTTCCTCAACTCTAAAGAGCGGAAAAGGCGACAATAATAATTATCATTCATTATTTGATTATTTGCACTTTGTCCATTTAACATGCTGTCTTTCTTTGTCTAACATCTCTTTTTTTTTACTGCAATTAATACCAACTTCTCTTTTCTTGATTACCACAAGGTTCCTAAAGTTGATAGGTTTTCTAGTAATGGGAAACAGATGACGTCATCTGGGTGCCCAATGGAGATTTGCATTACATTTAGGCACCCCAGATAACGTCATACAAATTATCAGGTAACCCACTTTAATCAAACAACTTTGGCTTTGAAGGACATATTTGATGCTTTCCTTATTTAATCTCTCAAGAGTGACAAAGACGACAATTGTCATTCGTTATTTGCAGTTTATTCATTTAACACGCTGTCTTTGTCCAACATCTCTTTCTACCCTTTTTTCACACAATTAATTTCAACTTTTCGATTGCCCCAAGATTCCTAAAGTTATTTAATTTGTCTGATAATGAGAAACAGATGACATTACACATTGCATTATGTTTAGTCACTTCAGATGACGTCATAAAATGTCAGGCAACCTACCTTTCTCAAACAACCTTGATCAATAAATACTGAAATAGTGTTGGTGTATAACGTAGACTTCTTTATCAACCTATAAGAATCATTCACAATGATTCTGACGGACATATTTGATGCTTTCCTTATTTAATCTCTCAAGAGTGACAAAGACGGCAATTATTTGTTAATTTACAGCTTATTTGTTTGTGTTTGTCTAACATCTCTTTCTATACCCTTTTTTCTCACAATTATTTTCAATTTTTCGACTGCCTCAAGGTTCCTGAAGTTATTAGGTTGTCTGGTGATGGGAATTAGATGACGTCATCTGGGGTGCCTAATAGAGATTTCCATTATGTTCAGGCACCCCAGATGACGTCATAAAAGCTATCAGGCAATCTACCTCTTCTAAATAACCTTGCGATTGCCCCTGAAGGAAGATACATCAAAAGCCGGTAATAATCAAACTTTTGACTATCGTTTGCTTAAAATACTCGGAAAGCTCTTTTTGGATAATGCGACGTTGCCAAAGTGTCGCAATTTCTTAAAACTTCAAGGAGATCTTTTCCATTCAATATAAAACTTATTGTAGTACAACTGGAAGCACTATAACAACAAAGTATTTAAAGTCAATTTTGGAAATAAACTATTACAATCTGACAACGTTACAATATTCACTAATGATTTTTTTGTAGAGTGAGACTTTACAAACAATTTTTTCACTCAAAAACTAAAGTGAGTGGAGAGTTGAAATTTTGAGGACTTTTTCCTAAAGGTTCAATGTAAAAAATACTAAAAAATTAAAGCGATTGAGTTATTATTAATGGAGTTATGATTTTTTGAAAATAATGATGTTTTGTAAAGTAAGACTTTATAAACAATTTTTTCATTTAAAAAGTAAAGTGAGTGGAGAGTTGAAATTTTGAGGACTTTTTCCTAAAGGTTCAATGTAGAAAATACTAAAAAATTAAAGCGATTGAGTTATTATTAATGGAGTTATGATTTTTTGAAAATAATGATGTTTTGTAGAGTAAGACTTTACAAACAATTTTTTCACTCAAAAACTAAAGTGAGTGGAGAGTTGAAATTTTGAGGACTTTTTCCTAAAGGTTCAATGTAAAAAATACTAAAAACTCAAAGCGATTGAGTTATTATTAATGGAGTTATGATTTTTTGAAAATAATGATGTTTTGTAAAGTAAGACTTTATAAACAATTTTTTCATTTAAAAAGTAAAGTGAGTGGAGAGTTGAAATTTTGAGGACTTTTTCCTAAAGGTTCAATGTAAAAAATACTAAAAACTCAAAGCGATTGAGTTATTATTAATGGAGTTATGATTTTTTGAAAATAATGATGTTTTGTAAAGTAAGACTTTATAAACAATTTTTTCATTTAAAAAGTAAAGTGAGTGGAGAGTTGAAATTTTGAGGACTTTTTCCTAAAGGTTCAATGTAGAAAATACTAAAAAATTAAAGCGATTGAGTTATTATTAATGGAGTTATGATTTTTTGAAAATAATGATGTTTTGTAAAGTAAGACTTTATAAACAATTTTTTCATTTAAAAAGTAAAGTAAGTGGAGAGTTGAAATTTTGAGGACTTTTTCCTAAAGGTTCAATGTAGAAAATACTAAAAAATTAAAGCGATTGAGTTATTATTAATGGAGTTATGATTTTTTGAAAATAATGATGTTTTGTAGAGTAAGACTTTACAAACAATTTTTTCACTCAAAAACTAAAGTGAGTGGAGAGTTGAAATTTTGAGGACTTTTTCCTAAAGGTTCAATGTAAAAAATACTAAAAACTCAAAGCGATTGAGTTATTATTAATGGAGTTATGATTTTTTGAAAATAATGATGTTTTGTAAAGTAAGACTTTATAAACAATTTTTTCATTTAAAAAGTAAAGTAAGTGGAGAGTTGAAATTTTGAGGACTTTTTCCTAAAGGTTCAATGTAGAAAATACTAAAAAATTAAAGCGATTGAGTTATTATTAATGGAGTTATGATTTTTTGAAAATAATGATGTTTTGTAGAGTAAGACTTTACAAACAATTTTTTCACTCAAAAACTAAAGTGAGTGGAGAGTTGAAATTTTGAGGACTTTTTCCTAAAGGTTCAATGTAAAAAATACTAAAAACTCAAAGCGATTGAGTTATTATTAATGGAGTTATGATTTTTTGAAAATAATGATGTTTTGTAAAGTAAGACTTTATAAACAATTTTTTCATTTAAAAAGTAAAGTAAGTGGAGAGTTGAAATTTTGAGGACTTTTTCCTAAAGGTTCAATGTAGAAAATACTAAAAACTCAAAGCGATTGAGTTATTATTAATGGAGTTATGATTTTTTGAAAATAATGATGTTTTGGAGAGTAAGACTTTACAAACAATTTTTTCACTCAAAAACTAAAGTGAGTGGAGAGTTGAAATTTTGAGGACTCTTTCCTAAAGGTTCAATGTAAAAAATACTAAAAACTTAAAGCGATTGAGTTATTATTAATGGAGTTATTATTTTTTGAAAATAATGATATTTTGTAGAGTAAGACTTTACAAACAATTTTTTCACTCAAAAACTAAAGTGAGTGGAGAGTTGAAATTTTGAGGACTTTTTCCTAAAGGTTCAATGTAAAAAATACTAAAAACTCAAAGCGATTGAGTTATTATTAATGGAGTTATGATTTTTTGAAAATAATGATGTTTTGTAAAGTAAGACTTTATAAACAATTTTTTCATTTAAAAAGTAAAGTGAGTGGAGAGTTGAAATTTTGAGGACTTTTTCCTAAAGGTTCAATGTAAAAAATACTAAAAACTCAAAGCGATTGAGTTAATTATTAATGGAGTTATGATTTTTTGAAAATAATGATGTTTTGTAAAGTAAGACTTTATAAACAATTTTTTCATTTAAAAAGTAAAGTGAGTGGAGAGTTGAAATTTTGAGGACTTTTTCCTAAAGGTTCAATGTAAAAAATACTAAAAACTCAAAGCGATTGAGTTATTATTAATGGAGTTATGATTTTTTGAAAATAATGATGTTTTGTAAAGTAAGACTTTATAAACAATTTTTTCATTTAAAAAGTAAAGTGAGTGGAGAGTTGAAATTTTGAGGACTTTTTCCTAAAGGTTCAATGTAGAAAATACTAAAAAATTAAAGCGATTGAGTTATTATTAATGGAGTTATGATTTTTTGAAAATAATGATATTTTGTAGAGTAAGACTTTACAAACAATTTTTTCACTCAAAAACTAAAGTGAGTGGAGAGTTGAAATTTTAGAGACTTTTTCTTAAAGGTTCAATGTAAAAAATACTGAAAACTCAAAGCGATTGAGTTATTATTAATGGAGTTATGATTTTTTGAAAATAATGATGTTTTGTAAAGTAAGACTTTATAAACAATTTTTTCATTTAAAAAGTAAAGTGAGTGGAGAGTTGAAATTTTGAGGACTTTTTCCTAAAGGTTCAATGTAGAAAATAGTAAAAAATTAAAGCGATTGAGTTATTATTAATGGAGTTATGATTTTTTGAAAATAATGATGTTTTGTAGAGTAATTTTAAGGACTTTTTCTTAAAGGTTCAATGTAAAAAATACTAAAAACTCATTTATGGAGTTATGATTTTTTTTAAATATAATTTCCATTACCTATCATTATTGGTTATTGAAGCGAATGACGTCATCTCTAATTTTTCTAGGGCCGTCACATACACAACTCGTTGCACAGCAGTCCTTTGCACCATCACAGCGTGCTTTATAGAAGCCTTCCGGAAGACACTTCGGTACAGTACGACCACGATCCAGGAGGCGGCGAAGACAATGACGATAAATCTGGTTTGTTACACGCCGCTTTACCCGCTCAACCAGGAATTTCTAGGTAAGAACCTACATAGGATCGGTATTTTGACAGATAACTAAAAGTTAATTTATGAGAAGTAACGTCATTCCAGAAGTTAACTTTTAGTTATTTTGTTAAAATATGTAGTATTATAATATTCGCCCTTATTCACTTATAAGTGAATTCATTTTCAGACAACAACTCATAAACAGTCCTTGTCCGATATGCGGCGATAAAATCTCAGGGTTCCACTACGGCATATTCAGCTGTGAGTCGTGCAAAGGTTTCTTCAAAAGAACCGTACAAAACCGGAAGAATTATGTGTGTTTACGGGGTGCCCAATGTCCAGTCACTGTGGCCACTAGGAAAAAGTGTCCGGCATGTCGGTTCGATAAATGTCTTCAATGTGGTATGAAACTTGAAGGTAATTTTCTACAAATCTTCAATAAATAATTTCACTGTAGCTGTGTGTGTAATTAAAATCACAAAAATTTTAATTGTTTTCTATTTTGTAGCAATTAGAGAAGACCGTACTAGAGGTGGAAGGTCTACGTATCAATGCTCCTATTCTTTGCCGCCATCTTTGGCCTCTCAGACTGAACTGAGAGCTAGCTCAACAGATATAAGGTAAAAATTGAAACATATGTATGACAATATTTATCCCTCGTCCTATATAGGCAAGGTCTAGGAGACCATCATCCAGGCTTCACGATAAAACTAGAACCGTCCGACAACGTTTTGTCCCACCACCACAAACGTAACAATATGCCTGGTTCCAAAGGTGTCCCGCCATTATTACAAGTAAGATTCAAATAATTCAAATTGCATAATAATTTATTTTAATATAATAAAGGAAATAATGGATGTGGAACATTTATGGCACTACAACGAAATGGAACTGAACAAATTAAGCACAGAGGGTCATTTGGGCAAAGAGGGCGCCACAGGGGCGGTGCACAACTTGTCGAATCATCCCTTATTGGCGGGGACAGCTTTGGCTGGAACCACCGACACGAATCCGGATTTTGTGGCAAATTTGTGCAATATCGCCGATCATCGATTGTACAAGATTGTCAAGTGGTGCAAAAGTCTTCCATTATTTAAAAATATTTCAGTAAGAAATTATTTACTTCAACTGTATTTTTTTTAATAATTCTGTTATTATTAATTATAGATTGACGACCAAATTTGTCTATTGATAAATTCCTGGTGCGAATTGCTTTTATTCTCTTGTTGTTTCCGTTCAATGTCAACCCCGGGAGAAATTCGTGTTTCCTTAGGCAAAAGCATCACTCTGGCTCAAGCTAGGGACATGGGAATGCAAGCCTGCATAGAGCGGATGTTGAATTTTACAGAACAACTGAGACGTTTAAAAGTGGACCAATATGAATATGTTGCAATGAAGGTTATAGTTTTATTGACTTCGGACACCTCAGAGCTGCGCGAGGCCGAAAAAGTTCGAGTTTCACAAGAAAAGGCCCTGAAAGTTTTACAAGATTATACTTTGTGTCATTATCCTGATAGTCCTTCGAAATTTGGCGAATTGCTTTTGAGGATACCAGAATTACAGCGAACTTGTCAGGTGAGAATCAATTTTTTTTTTGTTTCTTAATTTAATAATAAACATTTTCAGGTTGGCAAAGAAATGTTGACAATAAAATCAAAAGATGGAGACGGTCCGAGTTTCAATTTACTAATGGAACTTCTGAGGGGTGACCACTGAAAACATTACAGACTTAAATGTGCCTTAGAGGGTCAAAGAAACAATAGTTTGGCAACGTTGCCGCATTATAGCCACTGGCCCATTTTTTTTAAGCTTACGGTGGCGGGCTCAAATTACTTAACAGACAGTATTTTGCTTTTTTTTTTATTTAATAGATTTTAGGGCAGATATTTTTCACTGTACTTATCGTATTTCTACAGGGTAGAAAATTGCGCAATAATTCCCAGTCTAAACTACATAGAACAAACAAAAAAAATCTCTTATTATTTTTATCCAGCAGGGTGGTATTTAAATTTTGATGTTGTACATTGTAAATATATTTTTTAAGTTTATATTTTGATATTCATGATTATACACATTATTGAAAATTCAACTTTTCAAATCACTTCAACAGGGTTTACTTAATAGGTGTTTTTGGACTATACACTAGAAGAAAAGTTGAATTTTTTAATTTTTCTATACAGTAGGTTGTAGAAACAAACTTTGCTTGTATTTAATATAAGCTTACAATCATTCCAATATATTGGAAAGATCATTCCAAATAAAAAATAGTGGCAATATGTACTTATTGAATTACTGTACGGAAATGCCATTGAATTTAAAGAAGTCTTTCCACTGTAGTCTAACTACAAAAAAAAAAAAAAAAGTTAAGACTATTGTTATAGATAGTCTTTATAAAAGTTTATTTATTATTGTCCCTCTTTAGGGTCAGTTTATTCAGTTTCTGGTAAATTTATCTTGGAGATAGTTACCAGCAAGTTTATCTGAAAATGAATAAATTTGGCCTTATTTTTGTTAAATTTTTTGCAAATGACAACGAAATTATTTTTGTTTCAGCTTTTAATCAAAATTAGCTTGTTAAATGTAATATTCGATCCGTACTTTTTCCTTATTTTTTAATTGTATGTCTAATAGTAGTAGATAAATTAAACAAAAAAAAATAAATTACAAGACTTATTAGGGGGGTGGCCTTTTAGGCGGGGTCGTATTGGCCTTAAACCCCTAAATTGAATTTTTGTACTCACTTTTTGAAAAAAAGAAGAAGTTTTATACAAAACGAAACATTTTTTTTGTATGAAAATATATATTATTATACATTCAAATTATTGTTTTCTTTTTTATTATTGGCGTTAATGTACACAATTGACAATGCAACGTCTTAAATGTGGAACCATAGAAAAAGATGGCAATTAGATGAACAAAGGCTTCAGTCGAATAAAGACAGAGAGAAAAGGGATGCTCTAGCAGCAGATTTCCCTTACACTGGCTGGAGTACTTAAGAAAACGGTTTCTTTGGGTAATTGGGGCAACAATTTTTCGTTACAACGTTGCCAAATGATCAAGGTTACATGATAAAAATGCACATTATGCATATATTTTATGGAATGGCAACATCGGCTAGTCTTCTTCGATTTCGCTGGGGAAAATCGTTTTCGTTCTCTATCAACCCAGACTATTTTCTAGACATTTTCATAGGCGCAACTAGAGGGGTGCTAAGTACACACTCATTTTACGAAAATTTCAAAAATTTCCAGTGAAAAATCACTTCAGGAGAAATTTATTTATATATTTTCGAATAACTGAATAAACTCTATTCTAAGTTCAAAAATGTATTACAAAACAATAATTCCGAAGGTGCTCTATGAATTAATCTATGACTTGACTTTTTCTCTAAGTTATGACGTCATCGATGATGTAAGTAAAAACCGTCCTGCCGAGAAACGAACTATATATTTGTTTGAAACTACAGACATAAAAAAACATATTTTTCAAAAAAAAAAAAAGGCAAATGATGACGTAAGTACAAACCCTCGTGAAATTAACTTTTTTTTTACGAGTCTCATTTCCTTTCCATCAAACCCCTGCAGCACCCCTCAAATTTGGAGCCTAGTTGCGCTAATGGACATTTCATTCTATTGCATTGACATTGACCCCTAAGATGTTGACTTGCCATGAATAATAAGAGGTCTGTTCCAACACGTCAAAAAACCGTCCCATGAACGGATTTCGAAACCACTCAGTATACGAATTTCGGATTCTACGCACAAATGTCACATAATGCGCAGAATCGTAATGGTACATTGTACAGTTTTCTGCTCTGTTGTAACAAACCAACAGTTAAAAAAATAGGAACACCCTATACATTTAGGGCCGGTTTATTCACTTGATAAACTGTCAGGAATGTAATCTGAACTTACAGTTTCCAAAATCATCAACTTTGAAGTTTTAAAATCGATAACCAAAGAAGTGTGTAAATTTCCCAAATTTTCTTTGACTACGTCATGAAAGAGGTCCTAAGAAATGTCGGAACCTACTTTTCCACCCTTAATTTCCCGCTTTTCCAAGAGTTTCCGGCCCTTTTCTATTTCCCAAAAAATCGAAATTTTTAAAATTTTGAAAAAACTAAAATTCCATTGTATAGGACAGGTCAAAACAAGCAGAAAAGCTATTTGACATTTTCCCATAGGATATCGCCTAAGCCCGGAAAAAAAATAAATAATAAAATTAATAGGGATGCTTTTCCAGCCTGACATGGTCTTATTAAATGGCCCATAACTCTGGAACGCCTGGATGGATTTCAGTGAATCATGTTTCATTCGATAGAAAATTAAATTGTCTACAAAATGGCCTTATCCAGAATCATCCAGTTTTCAAGTTATGAGCCTTCAAAGTTGAAATTTCCTCGATTTTTCAATGTTATGAAAGAAGTATATTTCTTGAGGATTCAATTCAAAAGAAAAATCGATTTTGGGGGATCGTTGGGACCACTATTGCAGTAAAATTTGCATATTTCCATTTTGATTTTTTGAGGGAAAATGTTTCATAAGTCCATGTTTTTTTGAATCTGAAATTTCCAGCGGCCATAACTTGGAAATCGTAGATCTGAAAAGTGATGAAAATTTTAGCTCTTAATGAGTACTGCAAAGAAGTAATATGAGTTTTTCCTCTACAACTCACGGTTTTTGAGATTTTTGAGTTTGAAACTCCAAATGGAAATTTCAACTTTAAAATTCTATAACTCCGAAACGGTAATAGTTATTAAGATTATCAATGAGGTCATTTAGTAGGCAATTTAATTCTCTTTCGAATGAAACATGATTCATTAAAATCGGTCCAGGCGTTTCAGAGTAATAGCCGATTTAATGGGGCCATGTCGGGCTGGAAAATTTTCCCATTGATTTTGGAATTTTCTTCTGGAATTTTTCCTGGGCTTAGGAGGCCTCAAATGAGAAAATGTCAAGAGGCATTTTCGTTTTATTTTGGCTCACTCGAATTTTAGAAATTTGTTTTTTCGTAATTTAGTTAATTTTCAACAACTTTTTCTGGAGTGATTTTCCACTGGAAAATTTTGAAATTTTGCTACAATGAGGTCCTCTTTTTCTTCTTTTACCTCTAAAAATTTCAGCATTTTCCTTTAGCCAGTTTTCCAGAAAAAAATTAAATTGTATTAAATTCTCGTTTTCCAGGAATTTCCAGCCCTATTCCTCAACCTAAAAAATTGAAAATCGAAATTTTCCGAATTTCGGAAAAACAAAAATTGTACTGCATAGAGGAGGCCGAAATAAACCAAAAAGCCTCTTGGCATTTTATCGTAGGACGTCTCCTAAGTCCGAAAAAAAAAAATAGAAAATCAATAGAGAGCTACCTACTGCTTTTTCAGCCAGCTGACATGGTCTCATTAAATTGGCCATAACTCTGGAACGCCTGGACCAATTTCAATGAATCATGTCATAATCCATAGAGGAATAAATTGTCTACAAAGAAGTTTTATTAAAAAATTCGATAGTTGTCTTGTTTTTGTACTATTAGCCTTCGAATTTGAAACTCTCTAGGAAATCTGCTGCAAATGTACAGAAAAAATGCCATTTAATCCAAATCTCAAATTTTCAGATAAAAGTTGAATATTTTGATGGGTTCTACAAGAAAGTTCAATAACCTATTTGTCTTCAACTGATATTTATCAAAATAGAACATTTGCAGCAGATTTCCTTGAAAGTTTCAACTTTGGGGGCTGATAACGAAAAAACGAGACAAGTATCGAAATTATTGATAAAACCTCCTTGTAGACAATTTAATTCCCTATCGAATAAGACATAATTCAAAGAAATCGGTCCAAAGACAAAAAAGTTGTGGCCAATTGAATGAAACAATGTCGAATCGCCAAAAAATTATAGAATTTCATGGGAAATAGGAAAAGTTTAGGGAAAAAAGTTGCTTTTGGAATCCCCTCTACATAACGGCTATAGTGGAATTTCAAAATTTTGACTTTGGTTTTTGGCCCTATTCCTAGAACACTGGAAACTCTGAAAATAACGAAAATCGAAACTTCAATTAGCCATAACTCCGTAACAGTGAGTTGTAGAGGAAAACTTTTCACGGGCAAATTGTAGAACTCTACAAAAAAGCTCAGAGAGTCTCACCTCTACGACTTACCATTTTCGAGATATTTTACTTGGAAGTTTTAAAATCATTGGGTTGTTAAATCAAAGTCAAAATTTCCCGAATTTTCTTTCATTACTCCGTAGAGGAGGTTTAGAGAAATGTCGGAACCCAATTTTTCCCTTTAATTTCTTGTTTTTTCCAGGAGTTTTCAGCTCGGCTTTTTTAAATGTTTCCCATGCAAACAATGGAAAATCGAAATTTCGTAGGACGTCTCCTAAGCCTGGAAGAAATTTGTTGCGCAAAAATGTACCCTGTCATCTGAATACAAAGAATTAACTCAGAATTACCCCGAAAAACATACCTTTCAAACACTCTTTGATACTCCTATAAGCAGAGTCACAGTCTGGAGTCCAGTCAAACTTACGATTCTTCCTCAACAAACCAGTAATGGGAGCTATGACAGTCGAGAAATCCTTAATGAATCTGCAGAACCACGAAAAAGTGCCCACTATCCTCCTAACCTCAGTGACACTAGTCGGAAAAGGAACGTCCAACATGGCCCTAACCTTATCGGGGTCAACATGTAATCCTTGGCTATCTACTACATAACCAAGATACTTTAGACTGGGATTACAAAATTGACACTTCGCACAGCCCACAGTGAGATTGGCCTGACGTAGCCTACGAAACACCTCCTCCAGGACCTTCAAGTGCGTCTCAAAATCGGGCATAATACACGAAAACATATGGCTCAAGATCAACTCCAAGGATATTATCAATGAGTCTTTGCCAAGTGGCAGGGGCATTATGTAACCCGAATGGGAGTCTCTTGAATTGAAACAGACCAAAATTTGGAATTATTGTAAAAGCGGTGTAGGGACGAGAAGACTCGGCAACTGGTACCTGTCAATACGCCAACTTAATGTCCATAGTGAAACAAAACTTGCTCTGAGAAAGTTTATTAAGGGTGCCAGTAACCTGAGGAAGGGGATAATTGTCGCGTTTACACACAGCATTAATTTTCCTGTAATCCACACAAAGGCGAAACGAACCAGCCTTTTCAATTATTTTTTATTCCATATTTGTGTTCCCCAAGTAACCGGAATTTTCAGTAATCATCTGTCAACCAGTTCGGTTACTTTAGTAACTTTAGCTCTGTTCCAACAGACATGAGAACCTTTCTAGAATAGTAATTTCTCAAGAATCATTTATCAATTAGGATAAACTTTCAACTTATTGATAAATAGGCGGGCACCTGGAAATTATTGGTTCTGGAACGGTCTCATATCTGTTGGAACAGAGCTAATGGTTAACGTTTGGTTATATTTGGACCATAGCCTTATATAAACATTTTTGGGCGTGGCATCCGGAGAAGTTTTTTCGCCATCCCCCGCCCCCCATATGCCGTTGCATGAGCATCAGCGCCCACGAGGTTTTTTGAAACCCGGCGCCCCTGCCCATAAGCCTAAAACTGTCGTCCAACAACGCATTCAATTTACTTTCCTGGTCCTCCGTTAGAATGGAAAAAAAATGCCCCACGTTGGGCGCCAAATTTTGCGCAAAAATTTACCCCTTCATCTGAATACAAAGAATTAACTCAGTATTACCCCGAAAAACATCATTCAAACACTCTTTGATACCCCTAAAAGCAGAGTCACAGTCTGGAGTCCAGTCAAACTTACGCTGCTTCCTCAACAATCTAGTAATATGGGAGCTATGACAGTGGAGAAATCTTTGATGAATCTGCGGTACCACGAAAAAGTACCCACTATCCTCCTAACCTCAGTGACACTAGTGGAAACAGGGATGTCCAACATGGTTCTAACTTTATCAGGGTCAACATGTAATCCTTTAGGCTTACAAAATTGACAATTCGCACGGCCTACAGTGAGATTGGCCTGACGTAACCTACGAAACACCTCCTCCAGGACCTTCAAGTGCGTTTCAAAATCGAGTGCAACTACCACTATATCATCTAGATACACGAAAACATATATGCTCAAGATCAACTCCAAGGACATTATCAATGAGTCTTTGCCAAGTGGCAGGGGTATTATATAACCCGAATGGGAGTCTCTTAAATTGAAACAGACCAAAATTTGGAATTATTGTAAAAGCGGTGTAGGGACGAGAAGACTCGGCAACTGGTACCTGTCAATACGCCAACTTAATGTCCATAGTGGAACAAAACTTGCTCTGAGAAAGTTTATTAAGGATGTCAGTAAGCTGAGAAAGGGGATAATTGTCGTGTTCACACACAGTATTAATTTTCTTGTAATCCACACAAAGGCGAAACGAACCATCCATTCTTTTTAACCATAACGACTGGTGATGCCCACAGGCTTTTTGACGGTTCCACAACCCCAAGCTTTATCTCATTCAATTCCTTATCAATGTGTTGCTGCATTATAGGAAAAACTTGGTATCAACGTTGCTTGATAGGCCTGGCTTTGGTAACAATAACATGTTCCACTTAGTCCATTCAACCCAATTTATCACTTATAAGCCTAAAACTGTCGTCCAACAATGCATTCAATTTACTCTGCTGGTCCTCTGTTAGAATGGAAAAAAATAAATAAATCGCCCCACATTGAGCGCCAAAATGTTGCGCATAAATTTACCCTGTCATCTGAATACAAAGAATTAACTCAGTGTTACCCCGAAAAACACCCACATATTGTTTCGCATTCAATAAAAAAGGTAGAAATCATAGGCGTAGAAATCTAGTAAAATCCAATGAGAAACCTATCAATCACCGAAAAATAATAATTCTCAGGTGTAAAGCTTCATACATATAGTTCGTCGATTTTAATTAGTGGTGCCGCGAGACGAGACTAGACGAAACTTAAGGTTGGTCTCGTCTCGACATCTCGAGACGAGACCGAGATTTAGTCTCGGTCTCGAGTACCAAAGTTTCGTCTTGTCTCGAGTGGTCTCGTCTGGTCTCGAGTTATACAGGGTGTCCAAAAAAAAAATAGCGTAAAAACTCTTCTCTACGTAGTGGAGGACCCTACAAGGAACCCCAGAAAAATACTTTAAAAAATCTAGTGGCATTCTTAAGAAAGTTATTTGCATTTTGATATTTATTAAAATTGGCAACACTGAAAATATCCCGTTGACAATATGTCAGAGAATTAAATTAAATACCCATGTAACTACCTGAAGAATTCGAAGGGGAATTCTCACATCTACCTCTTCATATTACCAAGAATAATGCTGGGAAAGGATTTTTTAAATTTAATTATTTTTCTAGGGTTTCTCGAAGGGTCCTCTACTACGTGGAGAATTTTTTCACTATTTTTCGGACACCCTGTATTTATGGTTTTTGTTTTTATACTATAACGGAAGTCCAAACTGCCACAGTGAAAAAGCAATTAATGAAAAATCACAGTAAAGAGTAACCCTGATATTTAATTTACTGATTTCATATTCAAATAGCCGAGAATAGTCCAATAATAAAGCTACGAAAGAAAAATTTTAAGTGTAATCTTGAGACTCGAGACTCTCGCCGAGTCTGGTCTCGTCTCGTCGAGACTTCACGAGACGAGAAAAAAGTCTCGAGTCATCACTAATTTCAATCTGATACTCTTAGGGCCGATACTTTTGCTCTCGATTAACGAATTTGATATGTTGTCAAAGTTTGGCATGGACCAAGGTCTATAAGTATGATGTGGTTAGAGCACATTCTATGCCCTGATTATTTTCAACAATTGTCAAATGAGAGCAAAAGTACCGGCACTTAATGGATGTGAGCTGGTGGCACCCTACATTAGAACGCCAATGGTGACCTGACGTTACACCTGTTTTTGCCATATACTTTACCCCCTTGCTCCTCATACGGAAAGTGTCAGATAAAAATCGACGAACAATATCCTCACAAATACCTGAATTAATTACTGAATTCATTCGAAATTTCAGTTACGTACTAAGGCAAAATGCGTACGTACGTAACAAATTAAAATAGAAAATCAATTTATCTTGTAGCAGGTCTATTTGAATATGAATAAACCTAGCAGTAAGTAAATGCAAAGAATAAGTAATAGTCAACCAACAGTGGTCAATTAATGGCACATTTTTGAAGTGGAAAAAGGAGAAGGAACAATGTAAAATTCTGAGGCAAAATTCATATACAAATCAATTCCGATATAATAATATGCTATATTTTTTATACAAGGTTCAGTCATATATACAAAATACAGACAACTTGAACAATATGGAGCAATCTTTTTAAACTTTCAAGGACAATCTATATAACAACGAAAATACATTTATTTACACTATTTTAAAACAAATTTTAATTGTTATGATATGCTATATAGAGTGAAAAACACAATTTTCGAGATACAGAGATGAAAAGCCCTTAAAAGTTGACTCAAAAGAATGAGCAAATATGAACTCAATTTGGCAAATTGAATTTAATAAATTACATTAATAATAATAGTGGTTGTTTTGTATATTATAGAAAAGTCTATAAAATAGATTTGTTTTTTTTTTTTTCAAATTACTACAGTATAGGTATGTTACATTAAGTATAATAATGAGCACGTATTTACATAAAAAATGCCTTGTGCTAGAGGGAGCCAAAAAAAAAACTCGAGAACCTGCTACATTTTTGGACCCCCTGGCAAATGCAACAAGAAAAAAGCATTGAAACACAATTTTAACTAACAGCCTTTTTTTGAGCCTAAAGGCTAGTTAAAATGGGTAATTATTAACTATTAGCTAGTATCAATAATAATTGTGCTAAGCCAAAAAGGAACATACAAATTGCCCTTCCTCACAAATAATAATAATACATAAAAAAATGGACGTATGATGTGTTAATAATTATTTTGATCAATTTTCCTTTTGATTTGTTCTCGTGACAATAATTAAAAAATAATAACAAAAATATAAAAAAATCAATCTGCTTAAATAAATGTCTGTGTGTTTTGATTAAATTAATAATAATAATAATAATAATGACTTTATATCTTAACAAAACTAAATAACGTAAAAAGAGGAATGTTACTTGTCAAATAAATGTACTTCCATACCGCACTCGCGCATACACATTTCACTAATATTGCATCGAAAATTTTAAGTCTTAAACACCGAAGTTTCAATATAAGAAGTAGGCACGAATCCTTCCTCCCCATCCCCATCCATACGTCTCACCCTCGTCCAACCATCCCCTTGGTCTAACTCAATCAAATGCAATTCCTCATCCTGCCCCATTGGAATACTACCCTCACTTGTTGCTGCATAAATTTCATAATTATAAATTTAGTTACAATTAATTATTATTGCTTACCTTCAAATGGGTATAACGCCTTACAAACACCTATGGGTGCAAGCAAATCGGCTTCGTAATACTCACTTTCCGGATCGGCGTTGTTGCCGTCGTACTGGTCTTGGTCAGAGTCGACGTGATGCAGCGACGTGTGCGAAGTACCGAGGCCGCTTTCGGGACTGTTTGAACAACTATGTCAAAAATAACGAAATGCCGAAATTAAATTAGACGCAAGCGGGAGGAAGAGAGAGAGCCAATGATTAGGGGATTATGTGTGTGTGTGTGTATGAAAGAGGAAAAATAATAATGTTCTGCTAGGTAGAGAGATTTTAAATCAAAAATGACTTATGGCCAATGAACAATGACATATTAACATACTGTAAAAGTCAACTGAATGACAGGTTCAGGAAAAAGGGCGGGTCTTGTGTACACCTCTGATTCATCTCCACCCTGGACCCTCCTCGAACAGCTCACCTCTCCTCTCCTGGCCAATGGAGTTTTGTCGTCAAAACAAATATCAGTTTATGAAAGGAAAAACACTAAATAAAAATCTCACATTGGAAAAAAAGGTTTAAAATCTCTCTTTAAAATAATAATGATACAAAGCTACCACAGGAACCAGAAAGCAGTTATATTTCTTTTCTAAATTGACTAAGATTATAAATACATACCCGTGATTTAATTGCGGAGTTCCCGGGGCACTAATTCTTTTGTTGTGGTTCATGGTGGGATTTGTTACGCTACTATCACTGGCGGATCTAAGAAATGCATAGAAGAAATATATCAATTTAAGGTGTGTTCACACAGAAATCACTGACAATTTTCAACCAATTAAATGAGTGATTTCTGTAAGAACAGACTTTTAATTCCAAAATATTACTCACCTACTGAGACTGTCCTCTTCTGCCGCACTACCACCGCTATTCCTATGGCTACGGGATCCTCCATTGAGCAATCTAGGACTACCCGCTATTGAATTATTTTGATTACCTATTTATAATATGAATATTGTTGTTGTGTTCGCAATAATGTTAAGCTACTATACCTGATTGAATATTTTTAACAACATCATCTAAAAATCCTTGATATCTGACGACATCTTGCTGGAGTTTTTCTAACCTATGACTACACTCGTTCAGTTGACCTGCAAAAACATTTTTCCATAAGTCAATAATTTATATGTTTTGTGATTTATATGTCATAACTTTTTTTATATTATAGATAGAAAGCTGAAATTTTCACTGAATCTTATCTCAATAAAGGGACTACAATCCCTGAAAATTTCAGCTTATTTGCACTTATAGTTTCTGAGATAAAATCGTGTTAAGCAATTTGGGGTGATTTATCAACTTTTCAATTTTTCTGAGTGCATTTTTTCATAGATTTCGGCTTCAAATTTGAGAATAATTTAGTGTATGGGGTTTAGGGGATGTTAATTAATTATAAGGATACAAAATCTCAACAAAATAAAATTTGAAATTTCATCGTTTTAGTGAGAAAGTAGCTACCTTATGATTTAGATTTTGGAAAACTTTGAAAGGTCATAACTTTTTTTCTATTATAAATAGAAAGCTGAAACTTTCACTGAATTTTATATCCCAATCAAGGGATTACAATCCCTGGAAATTTCAGCTTATTTGCACTTATAGTTTCTGAGATAAAATCGTTTTAAGCAATTTGGGTTGATTTATCAATTTTTCTGAGTGCCTTTTTTCATAGATTTCGGCTTCAAATCTTAGAATAATTTAATAATCCAAATTACCATTGATGCTTTCTGAAATTTTGAAAAATCGGAATCTCATTTGGTGTATTGAGAATTGCATTTTACTATTCTGAATAACATCTACTGAATTAGTGTGTATTTAGTAAAAGAATCACAAAAGTGTGAGTAATTATTCACAAATTGGCAACAATGTAAAATTGTCAGTATAACAAAGGGTGGTTTATAGGAAACTGGAAAAAAATGTTTACTTAGATAAACAAAAACAAGGGCGGAGCTTTGGAATACCCATAACAAAGACTTATTTGATTGGCCGAAATATCTTTTTCCGATATAATTTGTCATTGGTTGATTGGGATTATGGGGAATTGGTTTGTATAGGAAACAAAAAACAATTTTTTGCTAAGAAAAGATAAAGGGGACGGAGCCTATATTGATAACAAAGAACTTTATTGGTCGAATAATTTTTGGATTTTTTTTTGTTAATTTGTCATTGGTGTATTGGGATTATTGCGATTTTTGACTTTACGCCAGGATTTCATTTACCTTCAAACAACCCTAATGTTTTGTTATCATAATAGCTATTTACCTAACATGTGCGGAAATGAATTTTTCTGCACGAGTCTGCCGTTTACCGAACGACGCCTAGCGGAAGTTTGAGTGCGAAAAAACATTTTCTGCAAGTGTAAGTTTACAATAGCATGGAAAAATCAATTTTCCGTAACGATATCCGTTCGCATTTCGCATCGATGTGGAAAATTGATTTTTCCGCGCAGCTGTAGAGAATTTTTTTTCTGTGTACTTTGTGGTGTTTTGAGATGGATTTCTAGTACTTGAGAATGATACCTAATTTTCATACAGAAAGACAGATCTAATAATTAAGGAGTCACTAGTTAGTTTTATCATAATTATTGATGCTAAATGTTGGCAGAAGACGGGTTTCACCAGCTCAGTTTGAGATCATAGCAAAGAGTATGTTTCTTTCTGTATAGTGTATTTCTTATTGATTGTTATTCTACACTGGAAAAACAGCTCCCCTTACGTCAAGATACACAGTGATCTTGAAAAAAATTATCTTATATAAAAATTTATCCATTGCATAAAGGAAAATTACTTTGGTCTGAGAAGTTTTATGAAAATTCTTCGAATTTTACACTAATAAATATAAAAAGGTAAACAAAGTCTGATGGTTCTTTACTTATGACCATTCCAAACCTACCAAAGCCATCAAACAAAGTTGCACTATTAAAAGAACTGCAATCTTCAGTTAAGTACTTTGGTTTTTAATAGAATTATGAATACATTTCTTGGGACAAGAAAATTGGCCATCGGATAAGGAATTTGTGTTGAATACATTAAGATAAGACTGATCTTGGAACAAAAACTTATTTCTTTCTAGTGAAACATTATTTCGACAAGGCAATATTTAGCTTTTTTTTTAAGAAAATATTCACCAAAGTCGCAATTTCATTGAATAACTTACGTATTTTATAAGGAATCAGTATATCAGTGTATATTCTTTACTCACTCTCTATCGTTCTAGGATCGCCTAGGGCGGGATTGGCCTCGTACACGCCCTTCATTTTCATCAGGCCCTCCTTGGCGGCAGTTTCTTGTGACACTTTGCCTCGCAACTCTTCGAGTTTCTGAATCAGTTTTTTCCGTCTCTGATTCGGCGGCAAATCGCTCAAGTCCTCCTTTCCGTCGGCAATTGCAGCGTTCTAAAATTCAAACATATGAAATCAATTTTTAATGAATTTTATACAGGGTGGTGATTTCATCTTGGTAACATGTTATACTGTCATAATTTCTTTATTTTTGAAGCTTTATTATTATTATACAGGGTGGGGCACGAAAAACTTCCCACCTAGAGTTTGTCAGGTGTTAGTTGTTTAATCAAAAATCGCTCCAGACACGTCAATTTTTGTTTTTTGGGTGAAACATTCTATTGGTATTTTTACCCTCTACCTGTCAATTCTTAAGTGGGGGTAATAGGTACCCCCAAAATTTCAAATGGAAAGAGGGGTCGAGTGATATGTCATTTGGTAGCTATTTTCATTAAGATTATATCCCCGAAGTTTTAAGTTGCTACTATTTACCCTGCCGAAATGGCGGCATGTCAAAGTTAGGATAAATGCCTTTTTTCGATAATCTAAACTGTATAATTTTTAATTGTCACACATATGCGTACGTGACAGGTAAAAGCCACACAGCATTTTTCCATTGATTTTTCTTAACTTTGACAAGCCGCCAGCCATTTCGACAGGGTAAATAGTAGCAACTTAAAACTTCGGGGATATAATCTTAATGAAAATAGCTATTAAATGACGCATCACTCGACCCCCCTTTTTATTTGAAATTTTGGGGGTACCTGTCACCCCCACTTAAAGGTTGACAGGTAGAGGGTGAAAATACCAATAAAATGTGTCCCTCAAAAAACAAAAATTGACGTGTTCGAGCGATTTTTAATCAATCACCTAACACCTGAGAAAACCTGGGTGGGAAGTTTTTCGTGTCCCACCCTGTATAGCATTTATCGTTATGAATCTTATAACTGATACATTTATTATGTAGTATTCTAAACAATAAATACATAGTGTTCCCACAACAGAATCCTTAAATGTGGGAATATACAGGGTTAGTGAAAAGTACTGCAACACTTACGTTTTAAATATCTTCAAAACTGCTTGAGCCGCGTTCACACATTTCGGAATCTGACAGTTTTCAGGCATGCGGAATTCAATTCAATTTCTACTAACCTTGTATACATATATACAACATAAGTATTCATTATCTTCCTTTCTGTTTCTGCTTATGACTTATCTAATTCTAACCTAATAATTACAATATATGAATCGTTTTCCTGATATTACTCTACCCAATAAAAAATCAGGAAACTGTGGGAATTCTCTACAAGAGTAGAACTCGCGTGTAGAATGGGATAAGGCCCCCTAATGAATCATTTAGGAAAAATAACCAATCAACAATCAGTATAATTTTTCAATAATATGTCTTTTGTTTTTTTGTCCATCCTATCTGAAACTTAGAAAACATCCCTACAGTATGTTTTTTTATTTATTCAAATAACTTTAAAAATAAACAAATTATGACAGTTCAAAATTTGGGTCTGTTTTTGCAGAAATCACAAACCAGTCAGAGTGAATTTCATTGGTTGAAACTAGTTTTCTGACTGTTTTCAACCAATGAAATTCGCTCTGACTGGTTTGTGATTTCTGCAGAAACATACCTATTATCAAGATAAAATGACCACACTGTATAAGCACACATTAATAAAACGTACAATGAATAATATACACATAAATTTTATTTACAATGAGCAGTTATTATTGGCTGGATTTTAAAAAGTGTCTTAAGCAAAACATATGTCTTGAAATGGTTAATACAGGAATAAGGACCAAGATGTTCCTTTGGAGCTTAAGCCAATGAAAAGGCGTTTTCAGTCACGTGATTTTTGTTTAAATTTCCTTATTCTCGATATCTGCGTCAGAAAATATCATAATTTGCCATTTTCCCGGCACGTGAAAGTGGTCTGTTGTAGTCAAATCATCAAAATTTAACTTCAGATAAAGTTACTGGTAACTGTCTACAAGATATATTTATCAATCTCTAATCTTATTGGTCGACGGCGAATTGGCCAACCAATAGCTATAATCCTATTGGGTGTTTATCTGCCAGTTCAAGGTGAATAAACCAGGCCTTAGGACAATGAGATCAATCGTTAGTTAAGTCCTTGTTAGCAAACAACAACCTCAGATTATGCCACATAAACAATATCCTATTGACATTGACACAATCTAAGGTTTTTGTTAACTACTAACAAATAATTTAGTTGCCCTAAGGGCCAGTTTATCAATCAAGGAATAACTCACAGAGTTTGCTGACTTTCGGTCAACTCTAGCTCTGGGTTAACTCCGTAGTCAAGTCGAAAAGTGTTCATCAGTGCTTTTTTAACCCAGGGCTGGTAAAATTTAGCCAAAAACACCACTTTTTGAAAAAACGCAGATAAAAACAACAGAAAATTTTGAGGTTAACCCAGGATCAAACACGCTAAGTTGCCTTGAGAAAGCGGGTTAACTTTTCCTGGAATAACTGTCAAGTTAGCAGTTGATTCTGTATGGATAAACACTTGTCACAATTTTGACCCAAAGTTATCTCCGACCCATGGGGTAAACCGACTCTTAATGGTATATCTATTTTATAGGAAAAAGTATAAAAACAATGTTTCGACATCTTTAAACAGAGGGCGAAATAATTATTGAGCCCAGACAACATTTATTTATACACGGTTGTCGTTATGTATGGAAACGGTCTAATATTTCAGAACACGCTTCAGAAAAATGTAAAATATTTCCTTATTCTCGAGACAGACAAGCAGTTTCTGTCTTTTTCACTTATATTTATATTTAAAATAATACTGACGAAGACAGAGCATGAAAACGCTATACGTTGGTCATTGGTTTCAAGAATAAGGGCCCAGAAATAAAACCAACTGAAAAATCACGAGCCCGGAGGGCGAGTGTTTATTTTTTGGTTCTTCAATGAGTAAGAAAGAGAAACAGATAAAGTAGGATTATTCTCGGCGTTTGAGTGGCCTGGTAATTCTGGTGTTTGAATAATGAAGAACCTGTGAGAAGCACCGATATAAGAAATTCGAAAAGTGAAAGACAAAGACACAAACAAGGAAGTAGAAAAATAAAAATTGTGAGTCGATTTTGGATCATTCTCGGCGCTTGAGTGGCCTTGTAATAACTATTGTTATGTCAATGTAAAAATAAGGACAGCGACATAAGAAATTCAATGAATAAGAGTGAGATAAAAATAAAGTGAGAAAATTTAATTTTGATTGCTCCTAGTGCGGTGGAGTTGGCTCATGATTGTTGTATCTGGCCAATAAAAAGCTTGAAATGACAAAGTAAAAAACAGCGATATAAGAAATTCAATGATTAAGAGAGGGAAACAGATAAAGTAGGATTATTCTCGGCGCTTGAATAGCCTTGCAATTCTTGTGTTTGAACCAATGATAGAGGCTGGAATGACAAAGTGAGAAACACCGATATAAGAAATTCGAAGAGTAAAAGAGAAAGACAGACAAGGAAGTAGGAGAATGAAAATTCTGAGTCAATTTTGCATTATTCTCGGCACTTGAGTGGCCTTGTGATAATTATTGTTATGTTAATGTAATAATAAAGACAGCGACATAAAAAATTCAATGAATAAGAGTGAGACAAAAATAAAGTGGGAAAAATTAATTTCGATTGTTCCTAGTGGTTGAGTCGACTTATGATTGTTGTGTCTTGCCAATAAAAAGCGTGAATCACAGAGAAAAAGACAGCGATTTTAGAAATTCGATGAGCAAGAGAGTGAAACAGATAAAGTAGGATTGTTCTCGGTGCTTGAGTGGCCTTGTAATTCTTGTGATTGAACAGTGAAGAGACTGGAGTGATAAAGTGAGAAGCACCCATATAAGGTATTTGAAGAGTAAAAAAGAAAGACACAGACAAGGAAGTAGGAAAATAAAAATTGTAAGTCGATTTTGGATTATTCTCGGCGCTTGAGCGACCTTGTTATAATTATTGTTATGTTAATGTAATAATAAAAAAAGCGGCATAAGAAATTTAATAAATAAGAATGAGGCAAGGTTTTTAGGAATACCCGATTCAATGATAGTATATGCAATGTTGCAAAGTTCACCGCAGCATCCCAACAATACCTAAAACCCCTAAGGCAGGCGACACACTGGAGAAATAAGTTTCATGAAATTTGTTGCAAGAAACTAGAAATTTGTTCCATTATCTCATGAAACAAACTTATTTCTCCAGTGTGTCACCCGCCTAAGGGTCTAATTTATAGTCACTTCTTGGGGTTTTCTTGGACCCTGAAGAAACCTTGGACGGTTAGAATTGACATGATACACTTGTCAAATACATAGTAACAAGTGTCCATTCTAAACTAACAACCTTCAAGATAGTTTTGAGAAACGATTATAAATTGCGCCCTAAAAAATGCCAAACCACCATTTGACTTAGTTTTTGAGATAAGGCAACACAGCTTTTTTGTCGTTTTCATACATAACGACAACCCTGTATATTTAGTACATAATACATAAAACTAGTCTATACAAAATAATTCCTCAAACACTACAAACTGATACAGACACAAATTAGCAATTTTCAAAAGCACATACCTTAATCGCCATACAGACCTCTGTAAGCTTCTGAACGCATGAAAATAATACAAAGCATTAGCGAAAAAAAATAATTATCGACAATAATCTTAAATTTAAATTTCGAAAATCCGTTAAATAACAAAGCAAAGAAATTGCACACAAGGAATCTAACAGTGCATTATGCAAGGAGCCCCATCGAGACGTGAGAAAATGAAAAGTGCATAATATTTTATGAATAAATTGCGACACAAAGACACTTATCTATTGCTTTCACACAAAAAATAATAATCGAATCACGTATTACTATGATTATGAGAATTATTGTTTGTTAAGGCCCGGCTTATTCATCTTCAGATAAACTTGCTTGCATATCCGACAGTCTATCAAAAGGTGGATAAACAGGCGCTAAATCATGAGAGCACAATCATGCATATAGGAGCATAAACTTTGGGTTTACTTACTATCGCAAATTGGGAACCATAACATTACAAAAGGCATCACATCACCCAAGGAGCAAGTAGGAATTTTTTTAAAAAAAAGTAAAAAGAAAAACAGAATTACTTAACAAATAAGTATAAATCCATAACACTACCTATATGTATGTATTATAATAAATCTGTTTAAAATTCAAACATAATTCTTACCCCTCGACTGCCAAATATATTGAAAATCCCTGCACGTTTCTTCAAGGCCTTGCCTGTAATTGTGCCTTTAACCGTGTAGCCGCCGTCTTTTAATTTTCCACCCACTTGTATATTGTTAATGTTATTCGCGCTTCCCGAATCGCTACCGCCTTTCGACAAATCTTCAAACGGGAAATCCTCTGGAGGAAGGAAACCCGATTTGTATTTTTCTATTACCAATAGAGTATCCTGTAAAAACACATTGTTATATTATATGCATCAGAAAACTTGAAAATTCTTGCCTCTTTTTCATTAATAATATCAGCAGCTTTCAATATGCCATCCAAACATTTGTTGATAATGGGGAAAACTCCTCGTTCAATGTCAACACTGCCCCTAATGAAGTTTTTAATGTTTTTTATCCGTTTTTCATCTAATTCTTGCAACTGTCTGAAAACTTCCGGTAGGCCGGACCTAAAGTGCTGCCGCTGAAGCTGATTGGTTTGCTGAAGCTGGACGGCGTACTCGTTTTTGGCCTGGTCGCACGCTTGGGTTTTATGTGACATGTTTGCACGTGTTTTTTCCACCTAGAATAATCATTCATCAATTAATTACTGAAATAATTTAATAATTACCTCTGCTCTAGATAAATTAAAATCAGCATCGGCTTTTTGAAATCCCTCTATCGCTTTTTCCGCTTCTTTAAAGGCCTTATCGTAAGCCTTTTTTGCTCTTTGTAGAGTTTCTATTTGTGTTTGTAGTGCCTGTGACAGTCTCTGACCCTCTTGAAGTTGTTTCTAAAATAAAAAGCCTATTGTACTTATGAGAAATAATAATTCCACTATGTATGTTTATTTTATGGCTTGCTAAAGCAATATAATCTTCCTTTCGACCGTAATAGGATTTTGTCGGCAAATTTACCGGTCCAAAAAGGAAATACATACAGTGTATGGTTATTAGTTTTATGGTAATTGCAAAGCTCCGGCGATGGTAAAAATTGAAAATTACCTTGCGTTCTTCCCTTAAATCCTTAACTAAAGCGGTAAGTTCCTTTATCACATTTGCTTGTAGATCTTCGGCTACGACTTCGTGCTGACCGGCCAGATCGTTTATTTCGTTCATTAGGGCTTTGAAGGCTTGACAGGATGTGAATCTGAAACAAATTTTCAATAAATCAAAATAAATAATACACTATTGGAAAGAGTAATAAATTCTCTATAAATCTGTGCTAAATTGAGTTTGATAGCTTGAATACTTTTTGAGTCATCGGCCCTCAAAGTTGAGTTTTAGTCAAAGTTTAGTCAAAAACTCCCCTTAATCCTTTGGCGCCGTCTTTTACACAATTAAATTTTGACATATCTTGCATCAATATTCGAATATACAGGGTGAGGCACGAAAAACTTCCCAACAAGATTTTCTCAGGTGTTAGGTGATTAATTAAAAATCGCTTGGACACGTCATTTTTTGTTTTTTGGGGAACATCTTCTATTGGTATTTTCATCCCCTACCTGTCAACCCCTAAGCGGACAGGGGGTCGAGTGATACGCCATTTGATAGCTATTTTTATTAAGATTATATTCCCAAAGTTTCAAGTTGCTACTATTTACCCTGTTGAAATGACGGCTTGTCCAAGTTGTGTGTTTTTTTTTCTCATAATTTTTCAAGTGAATAAACATGAACCATTTTAAGCTGAACTGTTGAACGACAATACTTAAATTAAATACCAATGATATTTCCATTACTATGAATAGATACCCTGTTGTTTTGTTATTATGTAGTAAAAACCATACAGTTCAGATACTCGGGAAGAAGAATTTTTCCTAACTTTGACAAGCCACCATTTCGGCAGGGTAAATGGTAGCAACCTAGAACTTTGGGGATATAATCCTGATAAAGATATCTACTAAATGACGTATCATTCGACCCCCCTTTCCTATTGGAACTTTGGGGATACCTGTCACACCCCGCTTAAAAAATGTGTCCCCCAAAAAACAAAAATTGACGTGTCCGAGCGATTTTTGTTTAAATACCTAATACCTGAGAAAACCTGAGTGGGAAGTCTTTCGTGTCCCACCCTGTATATGTTCTAATGTAAAATTCTCAATTTTGGAATTTTTGAATATTTCTATATTGATTTTTGAGTATGGGACATATACAGAGTTGGGCACGAAAAACTTCCCACCCAGAGTCTTTCAGGTGTTAGGTGTTTAATCAAAAATCGCTCAGACACGTCAATTTTTGTTTTTTGGGGGACACATTTTATTGGTATTTTTACCCCCTACCTGTCAACCCCTAAATAGGGGTAACTGGTACCTCCAAAATTTCAAATGAAAAGAGGGGTCGAGTGATATGTCATTTGGTAGCTATTTTCATTAAGATTATATTTCCGAAGTTTTAAGTTGCTACTATTTACCCTGCCGAAATGGCGGCATGTCAAAGTTAGGATAAGTGCTTTTTTTCGATAATCTAAACTGTATAGTTTTTACGTATCACACCTATGCGTAAAAACCACACAGCATTTTTCCATTGATTTTTCCTAATTTTGACCAGCCGCTATTTCGACAGGGTAAATAGTAGTAACTTAAAACTTCGGGGATATTATAATCTTAATGAAAACAGCTATCAAATGACGTATCACTCGACCCTCCTTTTCATTTGAAATTTTGGGGGTACCTGTCACCCCCACTTAGGGGTTGACAGGTAGGGGTGGAAATATCAATAAAATGTGTCCCCCAAAAAACAAAAACTAACGTGTTCGAGCGATTTTTAATTAATCACCTAACACCTGAGAAAACTTGGGTGGGAAGTTTTTGATGCCCCACCCTGTATATGCTCTATAAGTGTAAAACTTTCAATTTTAGAATTTTTGAATATTTCTATATTGATTTTTGAATATGGGACATATAATATTTTCCATTAGTGCTGAAACATGGGACTTAATACATGTGTCTCATAAGGTATGTGTAATGAAACACTATATTTAACAAAACAGGTTATGTTATTCAAATATTGTTATACATTCAAAAATTGAACGTCATTTGCATAGGTCATTTGTCAATCTTGTTTATGAATGAACTGCATTCAAGAGCCAGGAATAGACAAGAATCGATTTCATCTCTCTCACTCTATATAGTTTATTTGTCTGGTAATAGTTCCATCTCTCTCCATTTCACACCAATTTTTCTGTCAAATAGGTCTGTCACAGTAAATGACAGATAAACATTGAAATGAACGTCATTTATGCCAATTAATTTGTTTATGACTGAATTGCATTCAAGAGCCGAGAATAGACAAAAATCGATTTCATCTCTCTTACTCTGTAATAGTTCCATTTCTCTCACTTTTCACACCAATTTTTCTGTCAAACGGGTCCATCACAGTAGTTGACAGTAAAACATTGAATTAAACGTCATTTATGTCAATCAATATGTTTACGACTGAATTGCATTCAAGAGCCAGGAATAGACAAAAATCGATTCCATATCCCTCACTTTATATAGTTTATTTATGTACCTTTCTCAAAGTTGAATTTTAATCCAAATTTAATCGAAAACATCAAACCCAATTTTCTCATAAACTATAAACCTGAAAATATTTTCCAATACAGGTTTCTCAGAGCTTAATAGGAGGTGCAATTCCTGAAAAATTTGATCCAATTTCTCTCACGAATTTTGAGATATTGAACTCAAAACTTTGCCCAAATGTAACCGACCCTGTTTTTTTTTATAATTACTGAGATCCCCATACTTACTCGCAAACTTGTAACACCCTGTATAGATAATTTTATAACTTTTTTGTTCTTTGTTGAATTAAAGACTTTGCTACAAATGCCTTATTCGAATTACAATAATAAGTTTTCAAAATACAGGGGGAAATAATAAAATACGAAAACTGAGATATTTTTAGCTCAAGAGCCGGTTATTTTTGGCCTGTGGTAATTTGATTTAACAGACTGATATTATTTTCAAATATTTTTATAGAATTTTCCGCATATTTAATAGTTGCGATGATGAAAACATTATCTTGTTTACCATTGACTGGAACTATTATTGTATAAAAATCTGCATGATATTGTAACAAAAAATTAAAAAATAATGTTATTATAAACAGGCATGGCCTGCTAGCTGATAGGAAAATATTCATGGAAATTGGCTTCTATTCTTCTCTGTTGCAATAATTAAGATTAGACACGTACTAATTTTTTTGTAATTACTCGCTACATTGTGTATGAGGTGTGACGTAATAAATTGGCTTTCCTTTTATTAAATCTTAAAATTGATTGTCAAAATCAAATATTGTAGAAAGTAATAATATGTATAACCCATCACTTACATTGCATTAATTAATATTTTTCAGTTTTACAACAATTTATTAATATTCAGTGAAAGTGATTTTATTATTTGTTGTTTTACTTTCATTATACATGTAATTCGTTATGCTAAAAGGAAGCGCACTAGTTTATTTGATATTAATTAATTTATTGGAACGTGGAAATTGTACTAGTTGTAGTTTGATTTCCTTTAATTTAATATGTTAATTCTGAACTTGTTTAGGTACAAAAGTTAAAATAATTGTGACTTTTATATATATGATACACAGATTTGGTAAATGGTACGCATAAAATCTAACTAGTAATTTAACGGTTTGTAAATCTGGAGCACTAGCAATATAATGATTATATCAAACAAAAATAAAAAGGTGATATTGGTAAAATTGAATACCTACATACCAAAGTCAATAGCCTGTGGAGTTTAGTGATAAATTAAATATTTGTTGTAATACTTACTGGTAGTCGTCCTCGTCTTTTTTCTTGGGTTGGTAATTCTTTACTAATCGTCTGAAACAAAGAAAAAAATTCATTAGTTAAACCTGATATTCTCAATAATATTTCAAAACTAGAATATTAACTCTGATGCTTGTGTATTGTTTGAAAGGAAGCCAAACAATCATTGTAAAAGAGACGAATATTTATAGACTTTGAGAAAGCCATTCACCTTTTCCCTCATAAATAATTTCTTTACAAAGATTTCAGGAATAATTAACTCAATTTTTTTGAAGCCAATACAACAATAAGAGATTTAAAGAACTGGAGTAAAACACACAGTCTATCTTCACTCTTTATTTTACAAAAATAATCAGTTGGAAGGGGGGTTGTACATGTTTCGGATCTATCATAGATCCATCATCAGCATAAGTTCTACAAGTTACAAAATTATGGGAGTTGTGGCGAGGGGCTGGGGTGTATACATCAAAAACTTACCAAATGGCACAGGGAAAATATGGTCATATACGACATGCCTAAGTATAATAATTATACATAAAAATATAAGTGTTCATGCTGTTATCAGCATAAAGTTGGTGGCTAAAGCCGCATCCAACACAGAACATATTTACAAAACTGGAATAGAGGAAGCTTGTGAGTACGATTTCAAAAATTACGTCAAAGTTTCAACTTACCAAAGGTGAAGATTGAAAAAATTATTTTATTAACATTAGAAAAATAGGACTGCCACACAAACACAGAATATGCCTATAGGAGGCGGAATTCTGGACGCTCATCTGTACTTCTGGATGTTAGTGGGTATTAGCTTTTAGTTGTTAATCAAATTTCAAAAATTTACTTAATGAAAAATCGTGCTGTCTGCACGAGGAGTAAGAATTCTTAAATTTTTGAAATTTGATTAACAACTAAAAGCTAACACCCACTAACATCCAGAAGTACAGATGAGCGTCCAGAATTCCGCCTCCTATAGGCATATTCTGTGTTTGTGTGGCAGTCCTATTTTTCTAATGTTAATAAAATAATTTTTTCAATCTTCACCTTTGGTAAGTTGAAACTTTGACGTAATTTTTGAAATCGTACTCACAAGCTTCCTCTATTCCAGTTTTGTAAATATGTTCTGTGTTGGATGCGGCTTTAGCCACCAACTTTATGCTGATAACAGCATGAACACTTATATTTTTATGTATAATTATTATACTTAGGCATGTCGTATATGACCATATTTTCCCTGTGCCATTTGGTAAGTTTTTGATGTATACACCCCAGCCCCTCGCCACAACTCCCATAATTTTGTAACTTGTAGAACTTATGCTGATGATGGATCTATGATAGATCCGAAACATGTACAACCCCCCTTCCAACTGATTATTTTTGTAAAATAAAGAGTGAAGATAGACTGTGTGTTTTACTCCAGTTCTTTAACTATTCTCTTCACTGTGAGACATGGACTACTATTTCAAAATAAGAGATTTATTTATAATTCCTTATTATCTCTGGTGTTATCTATTATAATGAAACAGCATCTAATTGCCAATAATAAGATTTGATTGCATAGATATTTATACTTCATTCAAATACATAATGATGCTAAAAGTTATGAAACAAGCATCCTTTTATTTGAATAGCAATTTTACACATTTCCACACCAGTCAATCTATAGTAACAATATTAAGTGTGGGCGCAGAAACAGTGGAAATGACAAGAAACTTTCATTATTCATGGACTCCCATTATACATTAAACAGCATTTTATTGTCTCTTTAAAATGGTTCTCCCACAACTATAAGATGTCATTTTTCAAATTTAAACTAAAATTGGTATATAAGTGCGTTGCTATTGTATTTTTCATGTAACATACTTGCGAAAATTTTAAAGCAAACAAGTTTTCAAGTATGTAGTTGGAAATTTCGCAAGACAAGGTATTATGCATATTAATATGCGGTTTTCTCTGATATTGAATTCGTAAAATGTATTACTAGGAATTGAAATTTGTTATCTTCATATTGGGGTACCATGGTCTAAAGGCTAAATACCTACTAGACAATTTATGGTTTATGGGCGTCATAAAGTACCCAAGTAAGAAATGACCATGGGAATATCGGACCATGGAGGCGCCGATAAGGACACTTAGCTTTTACAAGGGTTTTACCCTTCAACAAAGGCAGCTTTATAAAATTCTACTTTGTACTTGAACACTGAATTTTTCAAAATTATGAACAAAGATAATGCTCACTGTTTTCTTTGGTTATTCTTAGTTAAGAGCAGAAGGTGCAGAGCAGAGAGTGTAGAACAGAAGGTATATAGAGCAGAAAGTGTAGCTTTGCAGCTTCAAAGACATTTGACCTGATTGTTATCAGGATGAACAATCAGGAGGGTTTTTTTTTTGTAAATTTCAATCTGTTCTCTATCCATTTGCAAAATTTCAATCCAGTTTCTCAAATATTTTTCTCAGAAAAAAATTAAACGTCTTTCAATGTTGTTTTTCGAAAATTTGATGACATCGAGGAACATTTTGCCTCGCAACTTTCTTAATTTAAATCTGATCTCAACGTAACTAGGCTTGAAATAAAGCAAATTAAATTCTCTATAAATCTCTAGTTTATAAACCAAAAGAGAAAAGTGGAAGAGAGTGAAGAAATTCTTTATTTCAGACGAGATTTCAGGCAATTGATTTTCTTCCTCTTCCTAGTTTTCATTGAAACAAAAACGCAGTGTAAAACAGAAAGTGCAGAACAGAAACAGAAACTGTAGTGTAGAAAGTGTAGAACAGAAAATCTAGTGGTAGCAAAACAGAAAGTGTAGACCGAGCAGCGCAAGTGTAGGCTAGAAAGTGCAGAACAGAAACTGTAGAGCATAGAGTAATTTCCACTCTATAGGCTCGATAAGTCTTAGCAACGATAAGGACACAAAAATTTGAAATTGTCATCGTTTTAGTAAGAAGGAAGCTAAAGTCTGTTTTTTTTTAAAGATAAAAGTCAAAATGACATTATGTTGGCAATACAATGTAAAATTGTCAATGCTTTCAATTTTTTTATGTAGAAAAGGCTTGTGTTGCCAACATAGTTACTAAATTTTCGACTTGGAGAATTATCTTTAACAAAAAAACAGACTTTACCTTATGATTTAAATTTTGGGAAACTTTAAAAGGTCATAACTTTTTTTCTATTAGAGATAGAAATTTTTAGCGATTATTATCCCAGTGGCGGACTACAATCCCTGAAAAATTTCTGAGTGCCTTTTTTCCGAGGGGTGTCTCACAGTTGGAAATAGGTATACAAATCTCAAAATAATTTCCGGAAATGCTGAGAAATTACAGAAATTTCCTGTAAATTGTCACAAATTATGTTGATTCTCAGAAATTATAGGAAATGTTTGGAAATTTTTCGAAAATTTACTGAAATTATTATAGGAAATTAGGTAATTTTCACCAGAAATCTTTGAGAATTTTTGTGTATCGCATAATTGTTTAGTTCCTGTTCAATATTTTGTGAATAAAAATACCTAACTGCTAACAAAATAAAGGTAAGTAAGTAGGTAGGTACCTATGTATAAACACATCTCATAAACTATAGAAGTCAAGCTTCATGTTGTTATTTTCTACTGGAAATAATATAAAATTTTGGGAAAATGAGCTTCCAACCTTCCTCACTAAATGCAGAAAGTTCCAAATCTTTCCCTATCTGTACTGTATCCAGAAAAACTGTGAAATGTGTGAGACTTTATTCTCAATTAAATCAGTTATTGTTGGTTGATTTTCAATATTTTGCATTTTGTAATTTTCCACTGGAAAGATTTGAAATTTTGGGAAAATGAGCTCCTAACTTTCCTCTTCACATGCAAAAAGTTCCAAAATTTTGCCTCTATTGGTTTTTCAGAAAAACTTTGAAATGTGTGAGAAAGTATTTTCAAATAATTCAGTTATTTTAAGTTAATTTTCAAAATTTCTCATGTTGTTATTTTCCACTGGAAAAATTTATAAATTTTGGAAAAATGAGCTCCTAACCTTCCTCTTTACATCTGAAAAGTTTCAAATTTTTCCCTTTATCAGTCTTTCGGAAAAACTTTGAAATGTGTGAGACTGTATTTTTAATTAATTCAGTTTTTGTAAGCTGATTTCCAAGATTCTTCATGTTGTTATTTTTCACTGGAAAATATTTGAAATTTTGCGAAAATGAACCTCTAACCCTCCTCTTTACATGCAAAGAGTTTCAAAATTTTCTCTTCACTAGTTTTCCAGGAAAACTTTGAATTGTGTGAGACTGTCTTTCAATTTGAATTCAGTTTTTGTAGGCTGTTATCTAAGATTCGTCATGTTTTTATTTTCCGCTGGAAAAATTTGATATTTTGGGAAAGTGATGAGGAAAATGAGTTCCTAATTTTCTTCTTCACATGCATAAAGTTTCAAATTTTTCCCTTCACTAGTTTTCCAAGAAATTTTTGAATAATTGTATGAGACTGTCTTTCAATTAATTCAGTTTTTGTAGGCTGTTTTCCAAGATTCGCCATATTGTTATTTTCCAATGGAAAAATTTGAAATATTGGGAAAATGAGCTCCTAACCTTCCTCTTTACATGCAAAAAGTTTCAACATTTTTCCTTAATTAGTTTTCCAGGAAAACTTTAAAATGTGTGAAATTGTATTTTCAAATAATTCACTTTTTCTAAGTTGATTTCCAAGATTTTTCATGCTGTTATTTTCCCCTGGAAAAATTTGAAATTTTGGGAAAATAACCTCCTAACCTTCCTCTTCAAATGCAAAAAGTTTCAATCATTCCCTCAATTAGTTTTTGAATTTTTCAGTGAATTTGGAGGAATTTCTGAGGAATTTATGAGAAATTTAAAGGAAATTGTAGGGTCATGAAGTACTGAGGTTCACATTCTTATTATAAGAAACACTAATAATTGAAAATTTTTGCAAAAATCTAGTTTTGTGTTGGACGTCGGATATTCATTTCTATCGAAGAAATTCTCCCAAAATTTCACTTCATGATTTACAGGTTCAAATTTAATACTCAGTTTAATACTCAAGGAAAAACCTTTTGGAATTAGATCCACTTAGACTTGAATGGATTTGAATGCTACAGTCAAGATACTGTTCATATTGGGGCCAAATTAGAAAATCGCCTAGTGGGAAAAAAATTATTGGTCATTAGAGGATGGAGATTACATAATTTCAGTAGATCATTTTATTATGGGAATTGGAAAACACAGAGGAAAACACGAGGGAAAACATAATAAAAGTGAACATTTATTAGTTAATTCTGACAAGATAGGATGAACTTTTCCAAAAGAGGTACGAAATCTCCTTAAAAATAACCCTGAGTGCAAAGGAACTTGAAGTTGATACAAGTTTATATGTATTTGAATCCGAATATATTGTATCCTAGTATCCTAATATATGGAAAAGAGGCTGAACGTTGAAAAAATGGTTTATGGTCCTGTGAATCTGTTCAACTTTTAGGAAAAGGTCCATTTAAAATAAAAAGAAATAATATACCCTCAATAATGTGAAACAATATACATATCTAAGTTGTTTGAAATATCAAATGCAGGCTTAGGTTAGTTTAAACCTCAGTTTAACCCTCGGTTTAAATTCCTGCATTCTGGATTACCGGAAAAAACTCTAAAGTCAACTAACCTAACCTTGCATTTGATCCTACTTGATAAACTGCTCTTGTGTTTTAACACTAAAGGCCGGTCTATTCACCTTCCGATAAACTGTCAAGTAATCCAATCTGACGGATAAAACGCAATTTGTAATCCCATTGGTTGGCTAGTTATTCCTTGACCAATCCAATAATATTATGAAATGGGTAAATTTATCTTATAGATAGTTACCAGCAAGTTTATCTGAAGATGAATAAACCAAGCCTATGCAAAATAAAAATTTAAAAAAATAAACTTATCACCAGCAATTATGAGGATTTTCAGGGAATTTGTAAGAGGCATTTGTGGGGAATTTGAGAGGAGTTTGCAGGGATTTGTGGGAATTTGCAGGGAACTTAGAGGAATTTTGGGAGAAAATGCGTAGAAAATTCCCCTTTGAGGAATTGTTTGCACTAATTCTGGGGAGGTGGCTTACCCCTTGGTAGAAGTATCACAGTAATGTGTAAAATGTAAGTAAATGATCATTTCTAGAAAACTACAGTGAATATTGTAGAGATGTTCGAAAATGTTGGGGAGAAATTAAGTAAAAACCTCTCAGAAATTTTGAAAATTATCAATTTTTGTTTTAGAAATGTCAGAAATTTCATAGGAAACTAGTAATTATTTGGGGAATTCCGGAAATTATTCAGGAAGTTTCATAAATTATTTAGGAAATTTTAGAAATTATAGAAAATACTTATAAAAATTCTAAATATTCAGGAAATTTCGGAAATTATGGACAATATCAGAAAAACATTTCCAAAAAGGAAATAGGTGTACAAAATTTAACAGCGTGAGACACCCCTCGCTTTTTTCATAGAATCCGGCTCCAAATCTCGGAATAATTCAGTGAATACAGTTCGGGATATTCCGATGGACCATAAAGACATCAATGGTCTTAGTCTAGAGAAAACAGAAAACTAGACAATAACATCAACATCATTTTAGTACGAAAATTGTCCTCACCTTGAGACAAATTCAAAATAAAAAAAAAGAAAGTGAAATTTAACTTAAAATTCCAACACATTTTACCTCACCCGATATTACTTAGCATTACATAAAAATCATTTACAGAATTCAGAGTAACCAATTAGCATTTATTGTGTTTACACACACAAGTCAGCGAAACCTGAAACAATGTCATTAAAACGTATTTGGCCTTCCAAAATAAATATTATTGCTAAAATTTTATTGAGCAACGAGGAACAAAAACAACAATAAAGATGCTTTAAATGCGGTTAATACTTCAAGGTTTTAATTAATTGGAAAGTTATCATTTAATGATGGCAATCGAACTTGAGTTTATCTATGCAGTAATTAATGTAAAAGCTTATCACTGACCCACAATGCAGGCTTGAAAAATGTGCACAAAGGATTTAATCTTACAAAATGTGATCAAATTAATTTTAAATAATATGCCAACCTTGACGATATTTGCATTTGAGCATTGAACCACATTCTCTTTTGTATCACGGACAAATAGATTATTTTAAAATTAATTACCTCAATTTATAGGCATATTCCGATTCAATTGTGGCTCGATCCCTCACAAAGTGTCCGTATTTCTCTAAAAAATCGATCCCTTTCATCGTGTGTATCGATAACGTGTCATATTGATCCTGAAACAAAAACTATATTTAAGTATGGGCAACATAAAATCTGACCTTCAAGTGTATCCGAAAACAAACATCTGGAAAAAAATATTCTATGTTTATTAGATAAATTTTTCCGTTTTTGCCATTTGACCTCACGCAACAACCGTGTATGTATATGGCCTTATATGCAAGAATGCACATTCCCATCCGACACACCACACAGTCAGAGGTCAATGCTTTTTAAATTCGTTTTTATTTTCCATTAAAGTGGGATTATAAAATAGGAATGATTCAATCATAATAATTGCTCAACCGATTGTTATTGATTTGATATTTATGTCTGTATAATCTGGTATTGATTTGGTAATAATTTTGATTAGGTTTTATGCTAAGCATTTTCAAAGAAATTATAAGTAAATATTAGTGCAAGATCAGACTAAGGTTAGCAGGTTGCAGCTGAGGAGCCTCAAAATTAAATTTATCAAACATTGAAAATTTTCCAAAAATGACACTGAGACAGTTTTTGTCTCAGAGTACCTTTAATTTTTATCTGATTTCAATTTAATTAAGCTCTAATTAAAGCCAATTAAATTCTCTACAAATCTGTTTGTTAAGATTTTAATTTGGTTTCAACAGTTTCGCAACTGAGAAGCTTCAAAATTGAATTTATTGAAAATTGATTTTTTAAGGGTATCCATAGAAGTCGACTTTTTTCGAATTTTGAAAAAATGAAATATTCTACTAGTTAAGAAAGTGAAAAGGAATCGAAAAGGTCTCTTGGCAATTTTACGTCCAATGCCTCCTAAAGCTATAGTCTATTTCATTGCAGTTGATAGCTCAAATCACGGTTTAGGACCATAAAGTCATTGTAAACCATAGGGATTCACAATTACTTTATGGTACTAAACCTTGATTTGAGCTATCAACTGCAAACTATAGAAAAAAATCCAGTAGAACGAAAATTGACGTGACACACCTGAGAAAACCTCGGTGAGAAGTCTTTTGTGCCCCACCCTGTAAAACATTTTAATGTATAACATTTTAAATAACTATAATTTATAAATACAAACAAAAAATTCTTGATAATACTTTTAGTTATCTCAGTTCCGGTGCGTAAGCATAGAAATGAAAAAAGAATTCCAGAAAGGTCATCATCACTTTGTTGTCTGCCCAGGAAATGCATTTTATTTGCTTTTCGAATATAAAAGTCGTAATTCATTAAACAATAAGATTAATTTGAAACTTAGTTCTAAGTTTTTAGTATAAACTAGAATGCTATATTAATATTACTATATGTTTGAAGGAAAACCCCAAAAATGTATTTCCAAATTCAATTTTCCAAGAAAACAACCACTAAGATTTTCCAAAAATTAGCGCCACACTTGCATGATTTATAGTTTAGAGCGAGGTTTAGAGATTATTTTTTGACTTTGGATAATTTTCTGAAGGGCGTGTGATTATCGCCGGGGAATAACATCCTGAAACCCAATAGGCACCCATTCAGCAAGAAACCTAAACAAATAAATTTCAAAATACATCCATTAACTTGAACTTATGTAAACAAACAAAACAACTTTATCTTATCCAAAAACAGAACATAAAATACGCATTTTATTTTATCTGACTGTGTGGAAATTCCATTATACCTTTTGAGAGACAATGAGTCACCGTTGAAGAACAAATAGGAATCTCACCCTCAATATAGGAAAAAGGGCGATTTTTTTTTATAGGGAAGGGCCATAATGTTATTAGTATTTGATAAGAGGGTGAATGTGTATGGTATGACCCAAAAGACATTACTCTATTGCAATATAAATTTCATTTAAAATTTAAATTATTACGGCATAAGTACTTGTAACAATTATTGCATGCAACATACCAGAAATTGTTAATAAATTGGAATTTATTTTTAAAAAAAAAACGGCAACAGTAATGTTTCCTGGATTTATAAATATATTTCTATTACTTATCTATGAATCATCTAGAAAGGATGTGTTAATTTCCCATTATCAGGTTTTATAACAAAAACACATTTGATCCTTCATAATGAATCACCAAGTTAAACATTGGAAATCTGCAATGTAAATTGCTGGCAATTTTGTGCATATTTTTTCACTTTTATCGGATTCCTGAAACCAATTAAATGCGCAACGAACAAGGAAAAAAAGAAATCTCGGATTTGGAGTGAAAATTTCCCATATACTTGACTCGGAGTTCTCATGAGAACGTTTTTGTAGACTTTAGAAAATCGGAAGGTCAAGGTTACGTACAGTTCAACGATTATGGTTGAGCTTGGGTTTTGGTGTCTGGTTGCAAAAAATCTTCTGTATTAAAAAATCTCTATTATGTTTTGAGCCAAGAATAGACAAAAATTGAAACAGAAAAATTGAAAAAAATGACAAAAAAATGAAAACTCGAGAGCAAGGAATAAAGAATTATTTATCAATGAGTGAATCACTCAGGAACCTCTTTGGGACGAACCTCGGGGTAGAACACTAGCAATCTACTAATGAAATTTACTCATTAGTTCAATAACTCAAGTTAAAATCTTTACTAAGACGAAAAAAATAAGAAAATACGCTCCTAATCAATTTCATGGCAACTCTATTTTATCTAGTTTGTAACTATTACCAACATTATGTACATAATTACTTTAAGCAAAAACCTGAAGTAATTTAACAACAAGGTAAGTGGGTCAAAGGAAAATATGTAATTCCTCTTCAATAATTAGTGGTGGACGTGTCAAGAAATGCCGGAACAATTATCCCAAATGTTCCTTGACGATTATGATGGCAGAATGTCTAAAATTATATTCATAGATTTATTTTGAGTTTACTGACCTCGCGTGTACACATTTTTGAAGGTTAAAAATAATGCAAGCCAATTATTTAAACTTGTATGACCCAATAATTGGATTTTTTTAAAAATAATCTAGAAGCTTGAACTGCATAGTAGGTAATATAGTGAAAGAGGAAGACAACATACATAGCCCATAGAAATGATATCCATCTGGCTCTAGCAATTAATTTTAATTTGCAGTGAAATTATAATGACGTTTTTTAAAGCACGCGAGAAGTCACTTAAAGTCATTCCCTTCTCGGGATGTTCTCTTGATTTTGAAAAATAAATCGAGAGCCCTGCCTGGCTTTTCTCAACCAACAATAAACAACAAAACAACCAAGTCTATTTATAAGAACCAGAGCCGCTTTTATTAGGGTTAAGTAACTCAATAAAAATGACTAGAGGAAAGTAGTGTATTATTTTGTTTCACCTTGTATCTATTAGCCTATAACTCCACTAACCGGTAATAATCTAAATTATTACACGATTGGAAAATTATAAAATTCCAAAACGTTTTTTGTCTTATGAGCTTTGAATTATAAATCGCCGTCCATTGTGTAGTATGGACAATGTTGATGTAGCACAAAATTCTTCATAATATAATGTGGCCTTCGAGGGGCCCAAAAATAGACATTTCAACATTTTAAGTCTCTTGGAACATTGAACGAAAAACGGGTTTTGGTCACGTGTGGGTTGTAAACGGCCACTTTGGCAAAACGAAACTCGCACTTTCTGTAACCTAATCCTGTTCAGATTTGAATCAAAACAAGCCACACAATAAAAAAATTATTTATTCAAATTGATTCGAAACACGCCCAAGCGATAATAATAACGTTAATATGGCCTAATCAAAGGTTTGAGTCACGTTGGAAATAATACAATTATTCTTATCTTACTAATTAACAAATTTGAAAAAAAAAAATATTAGGAAAGCTGATACAGTGTCTCAGTCAATATGTGTGTACATAAACCACACCAATGTACCTATTAAGGCTTTTAAAAATAGACTTTTTAAAGGGGAATTTCTAGAAATGCCTAACCAATAATTATCTTATACTAGAACACGTTTCTAGGCTGCATACTAAAATGTAAAAGTTTAGGTACAGTACAGGTACCTAAGGAAGCGAGTATTAAATTTCATTTCACCCTAGCACACACAAAAAAAGACCCCTTTTCCTATGGGGGTTCAGTGAAGCGTGGAGAATTTTATGTTATTTTTAGATTGAGCAAATGAAACATTAACTGTTTTCGCATTTTTACAATATACAGACATACAGGTCACCTTCATCTAAATCAAATATTTTTATTAACGATTTTAACACCTATTTGGAGAAAACTGACATTGATTTAATTATTAGGGATAAGTGATAACTCAAAGTATTTCTCAGGAACCTTCAAACGTGATTTTACAGGATTTTTTCAGGTAAAAAATTCGTAATTTTGATTGTGACTTTCATATCAACTTTAAACCTCGCTTCAAACTTATTTTCTATCATGAAAAAACTCTAATTAATAAATCCTGAAAGTTTCAAGTTGCTGTGATAGCTCAAAACTCGACTCAAAGTATTTTTCAGGAGCCTTCAAAGGTCATTTTACAGGAATTTATGATTTAGAATATTGGGAACTTTGAAAAGTCGTAACTTTATTTCTATTAAAGCTAAGCTAAAACTTTCACTGAATTTTATCCCAATCAAGGAACTACAATCCCTGGAAATTTCAGCTCATTTGCACTTATAGTTCCTGAGATAAAATCGTGTTAAACAATTTGGGGTGATTTATCAATTTTTCTGAGTGCCTTTTTTCATAGATTTCGGCTTCAAATCTGAGAATAATTTAGTGTGTGGAGTTTGGGGTATGTTGATTGACCATTAGAATACAAAATCTTGACAAAAAAAAATTTGAAATTTCATCATTTTAGTAAGAAGGTACCTACGTTATGATTTAGATTTTGGAAAACTTTCAGAGATCATAACTTTTTTTCTTCTATAGATACAAAGCTGAAACTTTCACTGAATTTTATCCCAATCAAGGGAGTACAATCCCTGAAAATTTCAGCTCACTTGCACTTATAGTTCCTGAGATATAATCGTGTTAAGTAATTTGGGGTGATTTATCAATTTTTCAATTTTTCTGAGTTCCTTTTTCCATAGATTTCGGCTTTAAATCTGAGAATAATTTAGTGT